ATAAAAATTAACTAGAAACCAATACTGTGATTGCACTTATATGCAGCCTGGAGCTATCAAACATGGAGACACAGAAAGAAGGGTGATGGTTGCCAGGGGCTGGCAAGGGGGAGGGGCATTGGGAGTGAGTGCCAATGGGTATAGAGTTTTGGCGGCAATGAAAATGTTCTGTTCAACACGTTATTTTTATTTTTATTTTTTTATCCTCACCCGAGGACATTTTTCCATTTTTGTTTAGGTAGAGTGGGAGGGAGAGAGAGTAACCGAGAGAGAGAGAGAGAGAAACATCGATGCGAAAGGAACACATCGAGTGGCTGCCACCCGCACAACCAACCAGGGCCGGGGACAAACTGCAACCGAGGTACATGCCCTTAGCGGGAACCGAACCCGGGTCTCTCCAGACCGCAGGCCGACGCTCTAACCGCTGAGCCAAACCGGCCAGGGCTCAACACGTTATTTTTAAAATCCTCACCCAAGGATATTTTTCCATTGATTATTAGAGAGGGTGGAAGGGAGGGAGGGAGAAAGAGAGAAACATCACGTGAGAGGACACGTCAATTGGTTACCTCCTGCGCGGGGCCCTGACCGGACTAGGGATCTGACCTGCAACCCAGGTACATACCCCTAACTGGGAATTGAACCAGAGACCCTTTCGAGCGTGGGCCGACACTCTAACCACTGAGCAACACTGGCCAAGGCTTCACTTCTTTTAAGGCTGTATCCCCAGACATTCTTTTTTCCAGCTGTGCGTTTTTTTGTTTTGTTTTGTTTTATTTTGTTTTTGTTTCTTTTTGGTACGTGCCCCTAGTGGAACCGAACCTGGGACTCTGGTCCACAGGCCGACGCTCCAACCGCTGAGCTAAACCGGCCAGGGCTCAGCTGTATGTTTTTGTGCTGAAACTGAATTACCCGGTCCCGTATTAGTGAACATTTAGGTGAACATCTTTGTATATACATCTCAGGTCCACTGGGATAGTATCTTGAGGCCAGAGTCCTAGAAACAGGCCTGCTGCAGGGCAGGATGGGCAAATCCCTGCTTTTTAAAAATATGTTTTTATTGATTTTTTAGAGAGAGGAAGGAAGAGAGAGAAACATCCATTGGCTGCCCCCTGCACCCCCCTTATTGGAGATCGAGCCCACAACCCGGGCATGTGCCCTGACTGGGAATCAAACCCGGACTTCTCAGTCTATGGGACAACATTCAGTCCACTGAGCCACACCAGCCGGGCAAATCCCTACCTTTTATAGATACTGACATTAAACCTTGGACAAGTGACACCCTCTTCCAGGGTCTTCCAGCACGACAGTGGCATAGAGAGTAGGTAGTGGGTGAAATGGGGCCAGATAGGCATCGTTTCCCATCCGCGGGAACACGCATGGACCTCTGGCTCTGAGAAGCAGCCCAACAAGCCCACCAGCCTCCGAACAGGTGCAGAGTCAGGTGGACTCACAGGCAGGGGGTCTCAGGGCAATGATGAAATCCATTTTCCCCACAGCTTCTTCAGGTCCCCTCCATGGCGGTTCCTCTCCCTTATATCTTTCTGAAAATGACCTTGAGATCTGTGTGAAAATAAATGTAAACCAACTGTAGATCCCGGTTATTCATTTACTCATTTAGTCCCAGTGCTCATTCTATGTTGATTTCTCCCACCCCAGTGGTTCTGTGGGTTTTGTTTTGTTTTGTTTTTTCCATCTAGCTTTTGAACCTCCCTCCTTCACAGCTGCCCAAAAAGCAGGTGGGCAGGAAGAATGGTAAGTGGAAAACATGACACCTCGACCCAAACTAGTTAGGGCCCTCCTCTGGACACCTGCTGTTCGTTGGGCATCCTTTTTCCTTACCCCCTGATCATGCTGGACAAAAAGTAGTGAGGAGTCTGTCTCGTTCATCAGACTAGCCAGCACTTCCCAGCCAGGATCCTGCTCTGATACTGGGACCCCTGCAGCGATGAAGGCCGCCCTGTCTGTTTCCATCGTCTTGATCACAGCACCTTGCTTAATTTTCTTCTGAGCACCTCGGAAGAAATCTTTGCTGGTTCGTTTGTTTACTGCTCATCTTCCCAACTGGAATGTTAAGGCCATGAGGACAGGAACCCTGTCTTGTTCACCCCCATGTCCCCTTGGGCTCCGATGCTCAGTAGTATTTGTTGAATTCATGTTTGAATATAAATGCCTGCACGAGGTCTGGAAGGCGAAGTTTCAAACTGACTACTGTGGTTCCTTCTTAGGAGGGGACTGGAATCGAGGGAGACAGTCAAGCAGGAACTTCAGCTTTATTTTGAATGTTTTGATAAGGAGAATGTATTCACTTCTAAATTGATAGTTCAGAAGAAAGAAAAGCACTGAATGGAATTCTAACCCTTGTCCTAATCCTGAAATTCTGGCATGATTTTGGGCCAGTGACCTGACTTGCCCATCTGTCTGTGGCTTCTGACCTCACCTATAAACAGAGTCTCTCCTCCTACCTGAACCCAGATTTACAGTCTGCACAGCATTTTTCAACTCATTATCTCACCTGATTACCTACAACCCTGGAACACAGGCTTAACAAAGATTATTATCCTGATTTAACAGGGTAGAAAATTGGGGTTCACAGGGGTGAGTTGTCTGCCCTGTGGTTACACTGCTATCGTCATGGAGGCCCTTACTTCCTATCACGGTGAGCTGACTCAGATAATAAGTTTATAAAACCCAGAAATGGCTAATGGGGGCCCAGGGGGCTGTGCCATGTAAGCTATTATTATGGCAAGGGGATCAAGGTCAGATCTGGAGCTCTCTTCAGGGCCCTGAAGGGAGCCCCTTAGGCTGGTGAGGACAGGGTTTTAATGGGAGTCCTGGTAGACTCTGAAGGCCAAGGTGGGTGCTGGTTATCGGGGTCCTCAGGCCAAATCCCCGATTTAATGGAACCCTCCTTTCACTGAGTTGCTTTTCCAGAGAGGACAGGGAAGGCAGGAGGTGACAGTGCAGGCCAGTTAAGGGTCAGGAGGGCTGGCCAGGCAGCCTGGCCCATGGCAGCCCCTTCCTAGGTAGCCTGAGAGTCTACATTCTGGGCCAAGATGGTGGCCTTCAGGTCTCAGACAGATCCAGCGTATGAGGCTGGCCCAGGTTAGCAAGTTGGGGTTCCCTACCCTGGGTCGTCATTGTATCTTGAGCTGGGACTCAGTAGACCTTTCAAGAGGTGAGATTCCCCTAGTCAGCCTCTCTACTTGATAATGACTCAGGCCCAGGTGACAAGCTGGGTACGAAATATTTTAAGTCCATTTTATTACATGTGTACCAGGTACCAGGTATCAATAGTTAGCATTTATGAATGATGACTGAAGGGTCAGACACATCTTAATCTTCTCAGCCACCTTGTAAAGAAGAAATTATCCCCTTTTAAAAAAATTTTTTATCCTCACCTGAGGATTATTATTATTTTTTTGCATTTATCTTCAGATAGAGCAGGAGGGAGAGAGGGAGGAAGAGAGAGAAACATTGACGTGAGACATATCAACTGGTTGCCACCCACACAATGCCAACCAGGGCTGGGACAAACTGCAACTGAGGTACGTGCTCTTAGCAGAATTGAACCCGGGACTCTCTGGTCCACAGGCTGACTCTCTAACCACGGAGCCATTTTTATAGACGTAGAAACTGTGGTTCAGGGCTCAAGATCACATGGCTGGGTGAGTGGGAAAAGCCAGGATTTGAGCCTGGGTCAATATGACTCCCAAATCCCTGTTCTTTCCACTCCCCATCCCCCACCCACCCCAGAGATGACTAAGACCCTGCTCCTTCCCTTGGGTTGGGGGTGGATCATCAGGCCTATCCTAGCTAACCGGTGCACTGGTCAGAGTGACATCACTGCCATGGCAGCGGGCAGCCAGCCAGTGGAAGGCTGATTCATCTCCTGGAGGAGGAGAGGCCTCTGGGGAGGAGGGGTCCTGGACCCAGGTCTTGAAGGGGAAGCACATGGAGAAGGGTTCCAGGCCAGACACCTAATGCCCTGCCCGACAGGGGCCTGCTTCCTATAGGTCCTTCCCCTAGGAGTCCAACCCACCACCACCCTAATCAGGGCAGGAGAGGGGCCCCAGTGGGGAGGGGGCGATCCCGGAGCCTGCACAGAGGGTCAGAATTCTGCAGGCTCAGTACAGCCCTGAGAGGACCCTGGACTGATGGTGGTGGTGGGGAGCAGTCTACCGGGGCAGGATACGGCAGGGGTGTTTTGGAGTGGTGAGACAGGGTGAAGGTGGCCATCTGGGGTGCTCTGGAGTCTGCAAGGGAACTGCCCGATTGGCCTGAGGCAGGGGGGAAGCCTCCCCGAAGTTTCAGGCCAGGGTAGCTAGGTGGGTTTAGTGATATCGGTGTGGGGATTAGCAGGTCCTGGGGCCAAAGTGTGGGAAGGACTCAGAATGGGAGAAAGAGGCGAGTTCCCGGTGAGCCGCGTGGTGGAGGTGGTGGGGCGAAGGAGGTCATTGTGGGAGGGGCTAGCTTTCGGTGGGTGAGGGGTTAAGGGGCTGTCCCAGAGTTCTCTGGGGGTCATCGTTTGTAAGGGGTGCCCGGAGATCGCCGAGGAGGGGCAGCGGGGCATCAGGCAGGGGTGGAGCGGGGGTGGTTCCGCGTTTGGGGGCGGAGCCGCTGCTGGGTGGGGCGCCGGGCCGCCGCCCCCTCCCCGCTCCCCGCTCCCCAACGGCGGCGGGCGGGGACCCAGGCCTGCGGACGCGGGTGCCCGCGGCCAGCCCACAGCGCGGAGCGGGCGGCGGTGAGTAAGCGGCGGCCGGCTGGGCTGGTCCGGGCAGGTCCGGGCGGGGACCGCCAGCCGCGGGACCGCGGGAGCCCAGGAGGACACCAGGCCGCGGCCCCGCCTCCTCCCCGCCCTGTGCCTGCCGGGCGGTCGGCGCAGGGCGTTCGGAGCAGCTCCAGCTGGGCCGCCGCAGCCGCCGCCGGTGCTCGGCCGGGCGGGTCCGAGGGCGCAGCCTGGTCCGGCGGCGCCGGGAGCCGGGCCGAGCCCCGCGCTGCTCATGGCGGGGCCGCGGGGCGCGCTGCTGGCCTGGTGCCGCCGCCAGTGCGAGGGCTACCGCGGCGTGGACGTCCGCGACCTGAGCAGCTCCTTCCGGGACGGCCTGGCCTTCTGCGCCATCCTGCACCGGCACCGGCCCGACCTGCTGTGAGTGCCGGGCGGCCGGGCGGGCGGGCCGGGGACCCCCGCCCCCTCAGTGACGCGGCGGGCAGAGACCGGGACGCCGACCCTGCCGAGGGCCCTGCCGCCTGGTGGGTCGCCGAGACCCCCGCCCGGGCACACGCCAACCCCACGGGGCCTCGCCCCCCGCCCCTGGGACAGCGGACCGGGTGTGCTGCTGCCTCTGCGCGGGGTCGGGGTGGGGGTGGGGGTGGGGTGGGGTGGGGGTGGGAGCGGCGCCGCCCACGAGGCACTGATTTCCGCCGGAGGGACTCGTCCCCGAAGGCCCGGACTCTTTGAAGCCGGCGAGCCCTCTTTGGGGACCCTGCCTTTCCTGCACTCAACTCCTCGCAAACAGGCGCACTGAGCACCCCCTCCTGTGAGGCATGAGGCCTGTTTCTGTGTGGGGGCCCCCTTGCTATGAGTACAGGGAACCGCGCCTCTCTGATCGCCCCATGCGATCTTGTCTCGGGGCGAGCGCGGTGCCTGGCACGGAGGAGACTGCAGGTTAACAGTGGCTGAAGGAATGGACGTAAAGCCCCGTCGACCCCCATTAGGACACAGACCTGTCTCCCCAGGTGTGTGCCCCAAGGTCCCACTGTCCTCACTGGGACAGGAAGGCCAAGCGAATACTCCTAGTGTCTGACTGACAGCCACCAGCCGGCTGCTCCAGGGTATGAAATGCCCCCTTCTTGTTCCCGGCTGCCCAGGAAAGTTTATTTAGACACCCCCTTCCCCAGAGCTTCTGTCTCAGCTCCCTCTTCCCTGGGCCTGGCACCTCTCCCATTCATTCATTCATTCACTCATTCATTCATTCATTCATTCACTCACTCAAAACAGAGTGAAAGTTGATCTGCTGCCTGCGATCTCGTGCCTACAGTGCCCACCACCAAGGGGGACCTGAGCCTGGCAGGGTCTGGAGTCTCTGCGTCTGTTCCAGGAACAGACGTGCCCACAGACAGCACCTGAGAGGACTTTGAGGAAGGAGGAAGGAAGGAAAGGATCCGATGGCACGTGCACTTGCTTTAGTCTGTGCCATGTGGTACCACCATGTCTGTAGGAGGTGGGGCAGGCCCTGGAGGAGAGGGCTTTGGGGGTGAACCAGATGAGGTGGAGACAGACGTAGGTGGGCCCTGCCTGCTGCGGGGCATGTGACAGCTGCACTAATAGAGGTGGGCAGCGCTCAGGAGTGGGGACTTGAAGAATGGGGAAGGGCACCCAGAATGGAGTGGAGGGCTTGAGGGGCAGGTGCTGAGGCAGGGGGCAGGGGGCAGGGCACAGGGCCAGGTGTGCAGGGACTTGGGTGTCAAACTGAGCTGCTTGGTGGGCCCGAGCCTGCCAGCATCAAAACGCAGGCCGCTTGGTTTGGTGCTCGGCGCCTCCCTGTCCCAGGTGTGCGACTTTGGGTAAATCACCGGATCCCTCCAGGCTCCACTTCCCTCATCTGTAAAGTGGGATTGATAATAAGAGCGACCTCACAGGATTGTTGTGAGGATTAAAAGAGGTAATGAGCATTCAATTAACATTGGTTATTATAAGTAGTGTTATTAGGCAGAAGGGGGATGATGATGAAAGTGTCTTATTCCTTCATCTACTCCACAAGTATTTACAGAGTTACTGTTCTGTGCTGGGCGCTGTGCCTGGCAGTGGAGATAAGCAGCCGACAAAGAGGCAAACCCCTTCAGTCTCCCACACCTGTGGGAGTAACAGATGTAGAATCTGGGATGGTAATTCTGTGGGAAGTGCTATATCAGAGGGATGGGATGGAAGGCCTCCCAGATGTCATATAATCTTCAAGGGGATAGCAGGAGCCAGGTAAGTGGGTCCTGGGCAGAGGGGACACCTGAGCAGTGCCACTGGAGCCCATGGCACACGGCGGGGAGGGCCAGGAGAAGTGGCTGGGCCAGAGTGCTAAGGAGGGTGCATGGGGCCATGGAGAGCCATGTCGGTTTTAAGCAGGGGAGGGTTGTGGCCGGAGTTGGTTGGAATGGATCCCTCAGAATCACACCCAGGCATTCATTGGCAAGGCAGGCCAGTGTTGGGGCTGCCAGCCCATTGCACAGGACAAACACTGAGGCCTAGGCCCCACAGAAGGCATAGAGAGCACCTTAGCAATGCAGAGGGGAGGATCTCCATGGGAGTAGGGTTTGGCAATCATCTGAAGTGGTTTAAGCTCCTGGTGCTGTGGGCCCTGCCTCTGCTGGGGGTGGGGTTCTGCTGCCATGTTCATTCCCTCTCCCCCCAGTCCAAGCACCTTTAAGCTCCCTAGAGGGTAGACATCATGTGGGTTTCTTTTTTTGTGCCCTTCATCTCTCCCAGAGCCAAATGGAACTTCCCGGGCCTTTGAAACGCTCAGAAAATCTGTTACCAAAGCCCAGAGATAGGGGCAGGGTGAGAGGCTGAAGGGAGAACTGTCGTGTCTTAGGGGCCTTTACAGTTGTCATGCTGCTTCCATTATTTCTTCATTCAATAACACTTACTGAGCACTTACTAAGTACCAGGGACTATGTAGAATATTGGGGGCACAGGGTGAACAAAATGTAATCACATCCTTCTAAGAACGCTGTTGGGGAGACTGAAATAAATGTCCAAGACAAGTTGCTTTGTTCCACGTGGTCTGGGAACAAGCCTTTGTCAGAGGTTACGCTGGTGTCCCTAAACCCTTTCACACCGTCACAGACCAGGAGGCTGAGGATGAGGAGGTTACACAGCTGCTGAGGGCCATGCTCTAGGCAGTGGCAAAGCAAGGGGAGTTTGGGACCCAGCTGAGGGGAGAAGTAAGTCGTCTGGCCAGAGAGGGCAAAAGGGGGCTAATGCCCATACACAGTCCACCGAGTCTTGGGGCTCCTCCTTCTGGGGTTCTCAGCTTACTGTACCTGGACTCTGCCTGGAGGAGCTAGGGGGTAGGAGGGCTAGGGGAGGGGAGCTTGCTTGCCCTCTCCCCTGTCTGTGAGGCTGCCCTTCACCAAGCCCAGACTCGCCCAGTTCCCCCCACCAGCCCGGGAGGTGCTACTAGAGCTTTCCCCAGTTCACAGATGGGAAAATGAAGGCTGCCGACCTCCTCAAGGTCACACAGCCCAGACTGAAGAGCAGAACCTGGGACCCAGACCTTGGAGGGCGTGCTGCCTGCTCCAGACACGGCCGCTGCGTCGGCAGTCAGTCAGGCTGCAGTTTTCAGCCATAGAAGGGCAATGCTTTGGGTGGTGCACCCAGGAGACTTCCAGCAAGAAGGCTGGGCTGCGTCTACCGGTTCCAGCCACTCTAGCAGCCTGGAGCAATGGAGGGAGGGCGGGCGATAGATAAAGCCAGCAGGCTGGCCAGCTGTCCCTTCCAGGGTCCCCCAGGCCAGCCCTGCTTCCTCTCACCTGTCTCAGCTTAGAAACTGGGAAACCCTGCACTGCTCCCCCAAGAGAAAGTGCCCCAGGAGTGGCCCAGCAGGGGCAGCCAGCCGTTCAGTGCCTGCCAGCGGCTTTGAGGCTACGATTGCCAGTCTAGTTCAAACTTGTTCTAGTCCTGTCCCCATTACAAATATTCACCTTTGGGCTGGGTTGGGACTCAGCATGTTGGTGTGGCTTCTCCAGGTTTGAGACATGCAGTAGAAGGACCAGGAATGTGGGTTCCAAGAGCTGTGGTTTCCCCCCTCCAAGCCTCAGTGTTCTCATCTGTAACCCGGGGTAAATACCTGCCAGAGAGAGTTGAAAAGAATGTAAATTAAAGACAGGAGCTCAGCACTGCACTGACGTGAGATCAATTCACGGATGTCCCTGATTTTACAAGCATTTGTCCTGGTCTTAGTTTTGTCTTTGACCAGAATGTGGCTTCCTGAGGAAGGCTGTCCAGATTTGCAGTGAGTTAAGGGACCTTAAACATGAGAGCTTGAACTGGAGCCCCTCCCTCCCAGTGGTTTGCAACCTCTGCTTGGATGCCTCCTGGTGCCGGGAGCCCATCCTGTGCCCACCGGGAAGGCCCAGCTCTACAAGCATGTGCTTGCTGCCTCAGTTTCCTCCTTGACGGCTCACAGACCCCGCCCTTTGGGATGAGGTTCCTTCCCCCAGCTTCTGGTCACACCCTTGCCCAGTCACCTCCTCAATGCCCTTCCCCACTTTGCTTCTTGCAGAGATTTTGATTCACTTTCCAAGGACAATGTCTTCGAGAATAACCGTTTGGTGAGTCCCCAGACATATGACAGCCCAAGAAGCAGAGGGGGATGGGGTCTTGCAGGGCAGGAGCTGAGGGGCTGCCTGGCATTCAGGCCCTGGCTGCTCTTTTCCCCGCCTCCTGCTTCCCTAGGCCCCTTGTCCCTGGCGCACCAGTGCTCCCCCTTCTCTAGGTCATCATGTGGGGTCAAAGCTGAGGGGGGCCCATAGTCACCCTGCCCTGGTCCCCCGCATCCCACTGAGGGGCTAAGGGGGGCCTCTGCTGAGGGGTGCCCACTAATCCTGCCTCCTCCCCTTCTTCCTGCTGTGGCTGATTTTGCCCCCACCCAGGCCTTTGAAGTGGCTGAGAAGGAGCTGGGCATCCCTGCTCTCCTGGACCCCAGTGACATGGTCTCCATGAGTGTCCCCGACTGCCTCAGCATCATGACCTACGTGTCCCAGTATTACAACCACTTCGCCAGCTCTGGCCAAGGTGAGAGGGACAGCCCTTCAGGGAGACCGGCCCTGGGGCTGGGTTGGGGCTGGGCTGCAAAGGGCGCTGGGGGCGGTGCATCGTCGCTCACTGGGCTGCTCATTCGCTCGCTGAAACACGCCCCACGGGGCGACAGCACTGTGCTGGGCACAGCTGTGAACAGGTCGCTGCCCTCCTGAGCGCCCAGACAACAGACACAGCAACCCATAGCTGAGCAGAATAATGTGGGAGGAGACAGAGCAGGGCGGGGTCCCCACTGTCTGTGAGTCCTCTCCTGTGGCTCTGTGGGCTGTGGTGCGGTGTCTTCCCCAGACGTGACCTTCAAGGCCTGAAAACTGAGAGGCCGGAGAGTTGGGGGGATCCCTGAGGTACAAGGGTACTTCTCTGCTCTGAGTTGTTGCTGGGGCTGCAGAGCCTCCTGCCTGGAGAATCCCCATGCAGGAATCTCCCGTGGGCACTGGGCCGCTTCTGTAGAGAAGAAGTGGTCCCAGAGGGGAAGCAAGGAGTCCAGGGTCACACAGCAGGAGAGCAGAAAGGCTCGGTGGAGGACCCAGGTGTCCAGACTCCTGTCTGGGTCACTGCTGTCCACGGGTTCTGAGGAGGTGAGCACTGTGCCCCTCCCTGGCCTATTTCAGTTGTGCCTCCTGCCTCTGCCCTCCAGGGGGACAGTCCCAGCCCATCTCTCCAAGTGTTCTATGAAGTTAGGTCTTGTTTTCCTTTGTGTTATTTATTTTTGTTAAGCCTCACCTGAGGATATTTTTCTGTTTATCTTCAGATAGAGTGTGAGGGAGGAGGGGAGAGAGAGAGAAACATTGATGTGAGAGGAACACATCGATTGGTTAACCTCCCACACAACCCCGACCAGGGCTGGGGACTGAACTGCAACCGAGGTACATGTCCTTGACTGGAACCGAACCCCAGACTCTCTGGTCTGCAGGCTGATGCTCTAACCGCTGAGCCAAACTGGCCAGAGCTTTTTTCCCTTTTTAATAAAGCATGCTTACCGTAGACAATTTAAAACACAGAAAAGGGCATAAAAATGAACATAATCTATACTCCCCCCTTCTTGAGATAATGCTATGGATTAGTATTATACTTGAACAAATAACATTATATGTATTTTAGTATAAATCGAATTAAAAGGATTTCTCGACCACTGAGGTGAGTGGAAGTTGAGAGATAGACTTGCCCTGGCCTGTTTGGCTCAGCAGTTAGAGCATCGGCCCGCGAACCAGAGAGTCCTAGGTTCGGTTCCCACTAAGGGCACGTACCTCGGTTGCAGTTTGTTCCCGGCCCGGTTGGGGTTGTATGGGTGGCAGCCACTCGATGTATCTCTCTCACATCGATGTTGCTCTCTCTCTTCCTCCCTCTCTCCCTCCTGCTCTATCTGAAAATAAATGCAAAAAAAAAAAAAAATGTCCTCAGGTGAGGATTAAAAAAAAGAGCATAGACGCAACCTTTTTTCTCTGCCATTTACTATCTGGGTGACAGTGGGCCACCATGGTCAACTCTCTGCCTCAGTTTCTCCTTAGTAAGGGGATACATGTTGTGCCCATCTCACAGGGTTGACGTGAGGAGTAAACAGGGAAATGTAAACCTGTCTTAGGACTCAAGGTCAGTATTATTATGATGGCTTGATCGTCGGTTAGAGTTTCCCTTACTTACCTAGAGCCACAGCTCAGGCCTGTCTTCTGCAGGGTTCCCTGTCAAAAACCCCAGTCTCTCTCTGGAGGGGCACCTTCTGGGGAGCTGGGGGGGGGGTGTGGGAAGCCCTTGAACCTACTGCCAGTGGTGCCCGCTCTGATCTTGGGTCCTCACTGGGCACATGCTGGGGTGAGGCGCCCTGGCTGGAGGAGCACCAAAGAGAAGAGCTTCCCAGTAAAGAATGTGATGTGTTCAAGAGGCACAGGAATTGGAGCCGTGGGCGCCCTGGTACAGCTCCCCCATTGCACCTGGGCAGGAGCACCCCTTGGGCCTGCAGGGAATTTTTGTTGTATCCTCGCTGGAGGATACTTTTTCCATTGATTTTTAGAGAGTGGAAGGGAGGGGAGAGGGGGGGAGCGAGAAATATCAGTGTGAGAGAGAGACATGGATTGGTTGCCCCCCGCATGCATCCCCAGTCAGGGCCAGTTACATGCCCTTGACCAGGAATTGAACCCGAGACCCTCCGGTGTGCAAACCGACGCTCTAACCACTGAGCCATGCCAGCCAGGGCCCTATGGGGATTCCTGTTGCTAAAAGTACAGCTTGTACTTTTCATATAACTTGGTTCCCCAAATGCAAGTCGTTTTTATCCCACCCGCTGCTCAACCAAAGCAAACCGAGTGATGTGTTCCAACCCCGGAGGCAAAGCTGACTCCCCCAGATGGTCCTATACTGTACTTTCTGGGCGAATGGAGGGATTTCAGGGGTGACTTTGACTGGACTGGACTCTCACTGGACTGAGTGAGTAACCTTGAACCTGGTCCTGGCTGAGACACTGAAGTGCCATGCTGAGTGCTCAGCTTGTGCCAGTGACCCTGGGCACATCAGCTGACCCCTGACTCCCAGGAGCCACAGTCTGGTCTGGAACCAGAGTATGAGGACCGGAAGCACAGTCTCTGGGAAATCGGAGGAGGGGTACCAGCCCCCTCAGGGTGGCATGGGCAGTTGTCATCAGGATAAGTCCAGCTTCTTTTTTTTTTATTCCTCACCTGAGGATATTTTTTCATTTATCATCAGACAGAGTGAGAGGAAGGGAGAGCCAGAGAGAAACATCGATGTGATAGAGCCACATTGGTTGCCTCCCGCACGACCCGACCAGGGCTGGGGATGAACTGCAACCGAGGTACGTGCCCTTGACCAGAATCGAACCCGCAACTCATTGGTCTGCGGGCCGACGCTCTAACTGCTGAGCCAAACCGGCCAGGGCAGGTCCAGCATCTGATAGGGCCCTGAGGGCCTCCCCACGCTTCGCTTGAGCTACCCACGGCTCCAATTCCTCGTGCTTCTTGAACACGTCACGTTCTTTACTGTGAAGCTTTTCTCTTTGGTGATCCTCCGGCCCCCAACTCCATTTTCTGTTCCACCTCTTCCAGCCCCAGCACATGTTTTCCAACTGGTCCTGCAATCTTCCCATTTTGCCCCAAGCAGCCTGCCCTGATGTACCCCAGGTGCTCTTGTGGCCCCTGCCCGTGTCGAACACGTGAGGCTGGGGCCCCAGTATGTGCTCCCCGCTCCCCCCGCAGCCCGCCTGGCTCGCAGGCACAGAGCTCCATCACCTGCACTTATCCTGCGGGCCGGCAGCTGCCGGGCTCCTGTGCCGGCTCCTGTGCGCCAGGCCCTGTGCTAGGGAGGGAGCTTGCGGGCTGATGGCTGGGGGCGGACAGAGAAGAACAATGTGATGCATACTCTAATTTCAGGAAAGTCAGCACGGAAACAAAGTAAGGAAATGAGGTGAAAGCCACGGGAGGAGGTCCGAGGGGCCCTCCGAGGGAGAGGAGGAGGCCATCTGGAGATCTGGGGGGGATGCTCGAGGCAGGAGGGCGGCAGGGGTCTGTGTGCTTCGGGGTGTGGGGAGGGAGGAGGCGAGGACAGACGGCTGTGGGGGCTGGCACTTGATTAGGGGCTAGGCTTCCACATTTTTTTTTTACTATGATTCACGGTAAAAAATACAGTTCCTATCACAGTTGACGTTTATGCACACATATGTAATTGAAACACGTTTCAGGAAACAGTTCTTCCCCTTACAACATGTGATGCACACAGATATTTTCTCTTCTGTCTGATTTTTTTTTTAATCCTCACCCAAGGATATTTTTCCATTTATCTTCAGATAGAGTGTGAGGGGGGAAGAGAGAGGAAGACAGAGACAGAGACATTGATGTGAGAGAGACACATCGATTGGCTGCCTCCCACGGGACCCCAACCAGGGCCAGGGATCGGACCACAATGGAGGTACATGCCCTCACCAGAATCGAAGCCATGACTCTGGTCTGCAGGCCGACACTCTAACCACTGGGCAAACTGGCAAGGGCTTCTATCTCATCTTTTAAAATGTGTTTTTTATTGATTTTTTTAGAGAGAGAGGAAGGGAGAGAGAGATAGAAACATCAGTGTGAAAGAGAAACATCAATCGGCCGCCTCCTGCACGCCCCTGCTGGGGATCGAGCCTGCAACCCGGGCATGTGCCCTGACTGGGAATCCATCTGGGACCTTTCAGTCCGTGGGACGATGCTTAATCCACTGAGCCACAGTAAATGCTATTTTAGACCACAGTAAGGAACTTGGTTTTTTTTTTTAAATGGTCATACAATAAAATAGACTTTTTTTTGGTCATACAGTTCTCGGAATTGAGGGTTTTATTTCAGTCACTGGGTACGAAGTAGGTGCTTAGGGAATGTTTGCTGAAGGAATGAAGGAGTGGGGTGTTGGAGGAGGTGGGTGGGTGGGTTTCTTCTGGCGGGAGGGACTGTAGGCAGGGTTCTGGGCCCATTTCCCCGAACCTTGAGGCCTGCACCGGGTGGTTCCTTTCTTTTCCTTCCCTCTAGCCCGTCGCTCTGGTGGGCAGGAAGCTACCCATCCTGCCCCGAACTGGCTGTTCTGTTGCTCTGTGCACACGACCCCTGCACACGGGTCACTGTCCCCCAGAGGCGCAGGGTGTTAAGCAGCTTGCATTCGGCCCTTAGCTTGGAAGTGGAGGTGTCCCCTGGCCTGTGTGAAGTGGGAGCCTGCTCCGGTCCCACGGCGTTGGGACCAAAGGTGATGGCTGTGGAGTTCAAATCTTCGGCCTGGGCCCCTTGGGACTCCAGGGGACCTGAGACATCTGCCTCAGGTGTCTGTCCTGTCTCTTGATAGGCAGTGTCTCACCACCCAGAAAGGGCCTGACACCCTCCTCCCCGCCATCTACTCCCGTGGAACCAGGAGATAAGGCTCAGGTAGGCAGATGCCTGTGGTGGGCGGGTGGGGTGCGGGTGAAGAGGGGCGGTGGGGCGGGGACAACGGGCATTGTTGTGTTCAGGGGGCGCTGGGTCCTTTTCCCACCGGCTTTGGAAGTACAGTCTCACAGGCCAGGACAGGGAAGGGGTCAGGAGATGCCGGGCCTGGGAAGGGGGCATAGGGCAGTTCTCAACGCTGGCCCTGCCACCTGGCCTGACAGGATTTACACAGTAATGTGGCAAATACGCGCCTTGACTCCTGCTGAGACAGCTTTTTAAAAATTATTTATTTATTTTTATAGAGAGGAAAGGAGAGAGAGAGAGAGAGAGAGAGAGAGAAACATCACTTTGTTGTTCCTCTTATTTATCTGCTCATTGGGTGATTCTTGTATGTGCCCTGACCAGGGATTGAACTGCAACCTTGGCCAGAGCGAGACAGAGCTTTGGACTTCCCAGGGTGATTCTGTTTAACCCTCTCGCAACCCTCGGAGGTTGGCATTAGGTGTCCTGATGTACAGATGAGAAAACTGAGGCTCAGACAGTCTTGGTCATGTGTCCAAGGTCTCTTAGCTGGCAAGTGGGGGCCACACTGCCAGTCCCCTGCTCCAAGGTGCTTAGAAGGGTGACACCAGCCCTTCACTTTGGCAGGTGGGACCCCAAGGCCCAGAGATGCCAGCAGCTTGCTCAAGGTCACGGTGCTTAGAAGGAGAGAAACTGGGATTAAAGTCTGCTGGGGCCCTAGGAGGGGAGGCAGAGAAGGCAGACGAGGTGGCCCTGGGAGCCACCTGCAGGGATGGCAGACGGGTAAGAGCAGCCAAAGGAAAGGGGCCCTACAGCCAGGAGCCACCTTCCTGGTGGGGAAGGCCCCGAAACTGAAGTCAGGGCTTTTATGTCCCATCCTGACTCAGTGACCTGAGTGCCTCGCCCTCTCTGGGCTTTAGTTTCCTCGTCTGTGAAACGGTGACACTCTCCCCCTCGGTCCCCTCCAGGGCTCTGGTGGAACACATTAGCACTTGGGGGACAGTGGCCATTAGAGGGGGAACAGGGGTGACCGTGTCCCCCCAATCTGCCCACTCTTTCCCCGCAGGGCGAGGAGCTCTCCCCGGGGCACCTGTCGGAGCAGGGTGCCCACCGGGCCCCCAGCAGCGCGTGTGCAGCCTGCGGGCAGCACGTGCACCTGGTGCAGCGCTACCTGGCGGAGGGCAGGCTGTACCACCGGCACTGCTTCCGGTGAGTGGCTGGGGAGCTGGGGGCGGGGCCTCCCCGCCCCAATGGCAGGAGGGAGCATCCGTGGATTCAGCGCTGCCGTGTGCCGGGCCCCTTGGTGGGCTCCTGGTTCTGGAGCATCCTGAGGGGCACACTAGCCAGCGAGGGGAAGACTGGTTCAGTCACGTAATGAGAGGCGGGGCCGGGGCTGGGGTTCGGGGTTCGGGGTTCTGCCCCGGGTCTGCGCGCTCTGAGGCGAGCTGCCCGATGGTGTTTAAGGAGCACAGCGTGCTTTGAAAGCCATCGGGAAAAGGATTGGGAAAAAGTCACAAGAACAGCTTGCTTTCTGTGTGTGGTTCTAGGGGAAGCCAGGTTTAAAGAAAATGGAACGAGGCAAGGAAAATATAAATAACTTAGAAAAGATATGATACAAAAAAGAAATCAGGAAAGGAAATGGAAGAGTCAAAGGAGCGGGTGACTGACAGTGGCCTTGGGCACACGGACCTGGTCTAGTGTGTGTGTGTTCCATGGCGGCTGCACCTGGAACCTGGGACCTGGCTGCAGGACTGAGGTGTCATGGGGGAACCTACTGGCCATCAGAGCAGTCTTTTTAAAAATGTGTTGTTATTGATTTTTTAGAGAGAGAGAGAAACATTGATCGGCTGCCTCCTGCACGCCCCCACTGGGGATCGGGCCCACAGCCTGGGCATGTGTCCCGACTGGGAATCAAACCGGTGACCTCTTGGTGCACGGGTCGATGCTCAACCACTGAGAGGTTTTAAAAAAACGTTTTACAGTGACTCCTCCCAGAAAGAAATCTATCTGATGTTGGACCCGTTGTAAATACATACCTGAAGTAAAGCTTGTATAAAAGCTGCGCAACTAGAACTAGAGTTCGTAAAACAGGTGTGATACACTCTGACATTTTATTTGATTGTATTATGTAATTTTCTTCTATTCCATAAAACAAAACCAAAAAACCTGGTTGGTTGAAAACCACTGAATTGATTTCCTGAGCCACTAATGAGTGGCAGCCCGCTGACTGGCGGGGTGGCATCTCTTTGGGGACCTCTGCTTCCTCTTGCAGCATAAGCTAACACGTTTCTCAATTTCTGTTGCTGATTTCATTGTTCTGCTATGGTCCTGACAGTTACCATTTCCTTTTCCTCTGGAAGACCAGGGTCTTGAGACAGGATCCAGGCTGGCAGGTGGGAGGAGGGGAAGGAGGGAATAGCGTGGCTGCTGGAGGAGGCGTGGCCCGCGTGCTGGGCCTGGCTGCCTGGCCAAGGTGAATACCCACCCTGTTCTCCCTGGCAGGTGTCGGCAGTGCTCCAGCACCCTGATCCCCGGGGCTTACAGGAGTGGGCCTGAGGAGGGCACCTTCGTGTGTGCGGAGCATTGTGCCAGGCTGGGCCCGGGCGGACGGTCAGGGGCCAAGCCCAGGTTCCCCCCACAGCCAAAGCAACAGCAAGAAGAAGCAAAAGAAGCAGAAGCAGCAGCCAAGGATGTGGAGGGAGGCAGCCTTAGCCCTAGTGTGGCTGCTGGGACTGAGGCCGAGCCCCAGATCCCCCCCAAGCCCTGTGTTCCAGACAAACCACAGGATCTGGCCAGTCCCCAGGCTGGCCGCCCCATGCCTGCCCCCCGGAAGGCCTTCGAGAGCCCTGCCCTGACGCCCCCGACGCCCCGGCCCCGGTCCAGTCTGCAGCCTGAGACCTTGGCGGAGCAGGGTAGCAGCAGCCTAGTGAACGGTGAGCAGGCTCCCGCTGGGAGTGGGCGCTCGCTGGGGAGTGTCTGGTGTTTAAATGGACACGTGCACTGAGAGGGTTGATGGGTCCATGCTCTGTGCCTTTGCGTCTGTGTGGGGTGACTGTGTTTCTGAGGTTATTCGTTCATGCAAGAAATAGTGACAGGCCTCTGTGCTGGGCTCTGCCCTCCAGGATGGGGGTATAGTTTGAATAGAACAGATGCATACAGATGGCCCCATGTTGTCTCATGCTGTGTGTGTTGGGGTGTTTGTGTTCTTTTGTGTGTCTTGTATGGTTCGGTTTTGGGGTGTAAGTGTACACTGTGTGTGCCTGTGTCCTGCCTGTATCTGGGACACTGTGTGTTCAGTCGGTTTGCATTCTCCATCCAAGTGACCTGACTCCCACGCCCAGCCCTTGCCCTTGTCCTTGTCTGGGAGCCCTCAGGGGCTAGGGGCAGGGGACAGGCTAGGGTGTCCCTGCTCAGGTGGGCCTCGGGGGGCTCTCTTCAGGCTAGAAAAGACTGCAGCGGAGACCCCTGCCGCACCTCATCGTAGGACCTCCCCAGATGGCCTGCCTGGCTTGCATGAGCTCGGCGACAGGGCCCCTGGGACCTGAGACGTGCTGCGGCCTCTCGCTTGGTCAGGGAAGGCGTTGGGATAGGAAAGCCCCGGGCTGGGGAGAGACGCCCTCTGGCCGGCTCTGCCGCTCCGCACTCGTGGGCCCTCTCTGAGCCCAGCCCTGAGCTGGGCACCGAGGGCAGAGACCGTTCAGACCTGTGTGCGCCTTCGAGGCGGCACAGACGCAGGGATTTCAGTGGAGCCAGAAGTCTGTTAAGATGGGGGAGCAGAGGCTGTTGTGTGGTTCACAGAGGACAGCTGGGGTCAGGAGGCTTCGAGGAGGAGGCGGTGCTGGGACTGCTTCCTGTCCCCACGGCAGTGCCTCGGGGCACCTGGGCCCCCCTCAACGAAATGCCATGGGGTCTCAGATGCCCTGTCCTTGTCCCTCCGACCTTCTCTACCTGTCCCCTTTGGTGCTTATCTACTCTCCCTGAGCTCTGGGTGGGGAGGTGCAGTGTGCAGGGCAGTCGTCATGGCCCTGGAGTCCATGACCCGCCAGTAGGAAGGAAGAGCACTTCTGGGTGAGGCAGGCGGTGCCCGGGTGCCCCACTGCTGCTGAGCCCATAGCTGCCATGAGGGCCTGTCTCACTCCCTTTCCCATCCAGGAAGACTGCACGAACCCCCCGTCCCCAAGCCGAGAGGGACGCCCAAGCTGTCCGAGAGGTACGCTGGCTAAGAGGCTCTCCGGGCCTGGTGGTGGAAATGGGGGCCCCGGGTCCTGCTCGGGGGTGGGGGGCGAGGCTTTCTGTGGGAATGGGACCCCCTTCACACCCTCCTGAGAATGGGCAGGGTTCATTTCTGGGTGGGGAAGGACTGCTGTACGCATGTCCCCTTCCCCAGGGCTCCCTCCTCTGTGGGCAGCAGTGCCCGGTGGGGTCGGTCACCTCTGCAGTCCCTTCATCTCCGCAAGCCCCGCTGCCTTTGTAGCATGGGAGGCCCAGCTCACTGAGTTGGCAGCCAGGTATAGAAACGCCTGGCTCAGGTCTCCACCCGGGGACCCTGTGTCCCAGGTGCGGACATCTATTTTCCGCTGGTCTTTGGAGCGCTGCGTCCCCTGTGGTGTGTGAGAGACAGAGGTGGCCACAGCCCTAACAGTAGTTCAGACTCATGAGCACTCGCTGTGTGCCAGGTGCTGTGCCCACTGCCCCCTTAGAGTGGCCTTGTGAGGTGAGGGTTACCATTGTCCCCCTTTCATGGAGGGAGACTGATGCACAGGCCCGTGACTCCTCAGTGTCACAGAGGGAGCCTTTTCTGGGCTGGGCTAACAGAGGCTGCTATAGTCCATTTCAGCCCCAATGCGCTGGGGGTGGGAGGGGAGAAGGGCTGGGGGTGGGAGGGGAGAAGGGCATAGTTTTTCATCCATGCCTTTGAAATGGACTCAAAACTGTCCAGAGAGAGGACACTGCTCCCCTTACCTCTTAATGGTTTCTGCCTCTTCCTGCTGCCCTACAGGACGCCAGCCCCCAGGAAGGACCCTCCTTGGATCGCACTGGTACAGGCAGAGCCAAAGAAGAAGCCAGCCCCTCTGCCCCCGAGCAGCAGCCCCCGGCCGCCATGCAGGGACAGCAGGCAGGTGGAGAATGGAGGCACAGAGGAGGTGGCCCCGAGGAGCCCGGCAGCAGCTGGACTGGAGCCCAAGCCCTACAACCCCTTTGAGGAGGAGGAGGAGGTGGAGGAACCCCCCGCTGCACCCAGTCTGGCCACTGGCCCTGTCCAGGTCCACCCGGAGTCCACACCCAAGTCCCTGCACCCCTGGTATGGCATCACCCCCACCAGCAGCCCCAAGACAAAAAAGCGCCCTGCCCCCCAAGCACCCAGCGCATCCCCACTCGGTGAGTGCCACCTCTGGAAGCTCCTGGCCGTGGGAACTCGGTCAGGGCCTGGGAGGGGGTGTGGTTCGCCTGTGTGTCCTCTCATTTACTCCTGAGCTAACCTTCGAGGTAGGCATCATATCTCCCTTTGCAGATGGGGAAACTGAGGCACAGAGAGGGTAAGTGATTTTTCCCAGGGCCTCACAGCACTTAAGCAGTGGAGGCAAGATTTGAGTCCAGGCTCTAGACTCCACTCATTTCACCGTTCACGACCCACCTCGCAGGTCTTGTGAGAATTAGTGCGCTCTGGTGAAGCGTTTGTCATAGAGTTGGCTCCGGGAAAGCAAAGCACGTGGCAGGCTTGGCTGGAACCCTGCCCAGCTAGTCACTGTCCTCCAGTCGCTGACAGCCTCAGGCCCTGACCTGGCTCCGTGACTCAGCCCTTGTGACTTTGAGCAGTTCCTTCCCCGGTGTCTGTCCTCAGTCTCCTCATCTGCAAGACAGTAGATGGGTTAGCTCTAGGGCGTTGTGTCCCCTCTGCCACTGTCTTGCAGTCTTAGGCCCTAGGCCCAGTCACCTCCCACCATGGCTGGGGTCCGACTGCCTCCAAGACCTCAGCAGGAGCCCCTCAGACTTGGGCCAAGAGCGTGTTGGCCATGATCAGAGGCAGGTGCCCAGGTGGTCTGGGGTCCCCACTCTAGCTGAGCCAGTGGAGGTGATGGACAGGTATGCCCACGAGATGAGCTCTGAGTCAGACCCAGCTGGCTCCACCCAGCCATTGCCAGGGCCAGTGCCTTCTCTTTGAGCCTGTTGCCTCATCTGGAAAGCACAGATGACGACGCTTTCAGCATGAGGTCCATCACCCACATGACGATTAAAGTGGTACCGGGCAGCGCCTGCCCCTCCCGCTGCCCTCCCCCCTCTGCTCCTGGTCCAAGCCACAGGAGAGGCCAGCTGGGGGTTTCCTGTGTGCCCTCCCCTCCCCTGGCGGATTTGCCTTTCAAATGCGGCTTGGCTTTCGGTCAGGTCAGATATGGGAGGGGAGTGGAGATGGCAGCCATGCTGGGTGAGAAAGTGTGAGGTGGGTCCTCTGGGCTCTGGCTTCATCTGGATGTGGAGGGACATGGGTGTCCGAGGCCAGCTGCAGAGCTGTGGAGAGTGGACTGTGTTGGGCTGACACGCACTTGCTTGTCCATTTGCAGCCCTCCACGCCTCCCGCCTCTCACGCTCGGAGCCGCCCTCGGCTACCCCGTCGCCAGCCCTCAGTGTGGAGAGCCTGTCATCCGAGGGCCCTAGCCAGACCGCCAGTGGGGGGCTTCTGGAGCCTCCAGCTGTGCCCAAGAGCTCCTCAGAGCCTGCTGTCCACGCTCCTGGCACTCCTGGGACCTCTGCCAGCCTCTCTGCCAACTCCTCCCTGTCCTCCTCTGGGGACACCATGGACCGGATGCCTCAAGCCAGCCCTGGCCTTGCCCGCAATAGTAGGGGCAGCTCAGGGCCCCAGCCAGCCAAGCCCTGCAGTGGTGCTGCCCCCACCCCTCTCTTGTTGGTGGGAGACAAGCTCCCCGTGCCTTTCCCCGGCAGCGCCTCCCCGCAGCTCCAGGTGAAGGTGAGTGCCTCACCCTCCCTGAGGCTGCCGTCCTGTCTAGTGGACGGGGGTCTGGGGTCAGGGCAGGGATGTCCATGGCCTTCCATCTTTGCTGACCTCTTAACTTCTTGACTGACCTGGCAGTGTCCATTCTCTGAGGCACAGATCCACCTGTCTGTCGTTCTGTCCATTGGCCAGTCCTCCTGTCCGTCTCTTCACCTGCCCTCCGGCCTGGCCCTCTAGTCACTGATGCATTCAGGCACCTGCTTACCTGCCTATCCACGCCCTTGCCCGTTCACCCAGCCACCATCCATCTGTCCCCCCTTCCGTTCCCTGAGGTCCCTGCTTATGCCAGAGGCCCCTCCAGGCCCGCCCCGCACTCCCTCTCCTCTTGAGGTGCAGTGGGCACCAGGCAGCCATCCCAGGGAGCTCACGACCTTTGCGGGCTGTTTGCATACCTGTTTCAGTTTCATGCCGAGAACTGGGTCACCAGGGGCCAGGACATTCCTCTGGGCATCTAGTTTCTGAGAGGCCTCTCTTGCAACCATAGCCCCTTTGAGCCACCGAGTTCTGGTCATCTACCTTTGCTCCGCACTCTGGCTCTCTGAAGGCCCAGGTTCGTCTGGCCCCGGGGGAGGGTGGCAGGACAGCTCATAGGGGGCGCTATGGTCTTGGTCTGACCCAGCTGACTGCGGATGAGGCTGAGGAGGCAGCTGAGCTAGTGTCCTGCCCTGCCCGTGTGCCTTTCGGACAGTTAACCTTCCCTGACCTGGGGCTAGCCCCTGTCCAGCTCTGCCACCACCTGCTGTGAGACCTTGAGAAGGTCCTGCCCCACCCTTCTCGCGGTCTCAGCAGCTCTGAGAAGCCCCAGAGTTCCTTGGTGGGAGTTGGGGGAGAGGGTTGACTGTGGATACCCCCCTTTCAGACAGCTCCCTTTATTTTTATTTATTTATTTTTAGTCCTCACTCAAGGATACTTTTCTGTTTACCTTCAGATAGAGTGGAAGGGAGGGAGAGAGAGAGAGAAACATCGATGTGAGAGACATTGATTGGCTGCCTCCCACACAACCCTGACCAGGGCCAGGGGCGAACTGCAACCGAGGTACGTGCCCTTGACCGGAATCAAACCTGAGATGCCTTGGTCCGTGGGCTGATGCTTTTACCACCGAGCCAAACCAGCGGGGGCCCTTTATTTTTATTCTTATTTTTGTTAATCCTCACTCGAGCATATTTTTTCCATTGATTTTTATTTTTTTTAAATATTTTTTTTCTTTATTGATTTTTAGAGAGAGAGGAAGGGAGAGGGAAAGAGAAATAGAAACATAGATGAGAGAGAACATCGATTGGCCGCCTCCTGCATGCCCCCCACTGGGGATCAGGCCCACAACCTGGGCATGTGTCCTGACCAAGAATTGAACTGGTGATCTCTTGGTGCGTGGGTCAGTGCTCAACCACTGAGCCACACTGCCTGGGCTCTATTGATTTTTAGAGCGAGTAAGTAGAAGGGGAGGGACAGAGGCTGGGGTGGGGAGAGAGAGACAGAGACAGAGACATTGATTGGTTGCCTCCTGCACATGTCCTGACCTGGTTGAGGTTCAAACCTGCAACCCAAGTACATGCCCTTGACTGGGAATCAAACTCGAGACCCTTCTGTGCATGGGCAGATACTCTTCTAACCACTGAGCTACACTGACCAGGGCCAGGCAGCTCCCTTTAAACGCCCTTTTCCTGGGGAGGGGAGGAAGTGTGCGAAGGAATTGTGCGCCTGAGAAAAGGCTGAGAACTCCTGAGGGGCTGGGGCTTAGGCTGTTTGGCCCTGCTGGGCACCTCTGGGTGCGATTGTGGAGGGAGGAGGCAGAGTCCCACGTGGCTTCCTTCTAAGGCATCCCCACACCCCACCCTAACCCCAAGATTAGGAGAATTTCAGAGGCATTGAGGACAGGGGACAGGGGTCTTGGGTGGGTGCTGTCCTGTGGGAACCATACCCCATCTCCCTGCTGTGCCTGGGAGACTCTCTCCCCGGACTGGCACAGGGGAGGTGAGCAGGGCTCCTTCCTGCCTCCCCCACCTCTGGGAGAAAGCCAGGGAAACACTGGGAACACTCCATAGCCAGTAGGGAGGCCTCTCCATGGGGCCCCGATGACTCCTGTTTCCAGGGAGCTGGGGAAAGTGGTAGAAGCGCTGGCCCAGCCTGGCGGTGCAGCCTCGGGCAGGGCTCTCGAGAGGGACAGGAAGATGCAGGGCCCCGATGACTCCTGTTTCCAATGAGCCGGGGAAAGTGGTAGAAGCGCTGGCCCAGCCTGGCGGTGCAGCCTCGGGCAGGGCTCTCGAGAGGGACAGGAAGATGCAGGGCCCCGATGACTCCTGTTTCCAGGGAGCTGGGGAAAGTGGTAGAAGCGCTGGCCCAGCCTGGCGGTGCAGCCTCGGGCAGGGCTCTCGAGAGGGACAGGAAGATGCAGGGCCCTGGCTGTACGAAGCGGCCAGCAGAGGACAGGGGTCTTTGCTGGGTAGCGAGGGGGCTGCTCTTCTCCACCTGCTGGCCAGATGGGAGGTGGGATCCCTGCTTTCGTAGCTCCTGGCTGGGCCACTCTGGGCAAGGACCTGTACCTCTCTGAGCCTGAGCGTCCCCGCTCTGGAGAAGGTGGCTGTGAGGCCTGAGTGAGCTACTACAGCTCTGCCCTAAACTCCACGTCCTGACCACTGTCCCCAGTGCTGGATGGCTGCCCTGCCCTGACACAGATTCTCACCCTTGCTTGGACCCTTGAGAAGTGCATGACCTTGAGCCAATTGCCTAACCTCTGAACCTGAGTTTCAGCTGTGAAATGGGCGTCACAGTACCCACTCTGCGGAGTGGCTGTGAGAAGTGGACAAGGCTGCGCACAGGTTCCCGAGGCAGCGAATGCGCGGGAGGTGCTGGGCATTGGGAGTGGGTGTGGAGCTGATGCACCAGAGACCGGATGCTGGGAGATGCCGGCGCGGCCGGCTCCCTCCTCTGCCTGCCCCAGGGTCCAGCCTGTTTTTGCAAGTCCCATGTGCTCAGGCAGCCAGGGTCTTACTGCTGCCTTCCCAGACTTATCCTCTGTCATGTCACCCTGCCTTTAGTCTTCCTGCAAGGAGAATCCTTTTAACCGCAAAGCATCACCCACAGCGTCCCCAGCCACCAAGAAAGCCACCAAGGGATCCAAGCCAGCGAGGCCACCGGCCCCAGGACACGGCTTCCCACTCATCAAGCGCAAGGTACCAGCTGGAAGCGTCCAGACTGCCTGGGCCCGGCCCCCCCCTGGGCAGCCTCAGGCTCCCCCGGGACACTGAGGGCTGGGCTGTCGGGGCAGCTGCGCTCAGGTGTTGGAAAGGGGGCACGCGGGTGGTCCAGCTGGGAAGCTTAACAGGGATTTCGAGCAGGTCAGCTCTTCTCAAGCAGGAGCAAGGGTGGCGCGTTTAACTTGTTGCCAGTGATGTTCAAGGATCAAAGCACTCACGTGATGCACTGCTAGTTAGATGGACCAGGGTGTTCTCAAGCTAACCTCTATAGTAGGGTCACTCTCACACCGGGATATCACTGTGGAGCGGCAGACAAGCAGGCAGAGTTGCCGAGAGAGGCAGGAAGTTGTGCCTCCCCGAGTGTGCCTGTTGGCGCTGGGGCCAGGAGCATGGGGGCAGTGTGTCTGTACCCACAGCAGCCCTTCCCTACCCTGGGTCCTGCGTCTGGCCGCGATAGGTGTGGGACAGAGCCCAGCCCTGGGCCTGTGGCGGCCAGGAGGGGTGGGCTGTTCTCCAGGTGACCGGGGTGCTGTCGGGCAGGTCCAGGCTGACCAGTACATCCCCGAGGAGGACATTCACCAAGAGGTGGACACCATTGAGCGCCAACTGGATGCCCTGGAACTCCGTGGGGTTCTGCTGGAGGAGAAACTGCGTGGTGGCATGAATGGTTCGAGAGCCGCTGGGAGGGCCCGGCGGGTGGGACTTGGGGCTGGTGGGAGCCTTCATGGTTCTTTTGAGGGTGGGAACTGCTGCCAGCCCTGGCCTCAGGGGGCATTTGGCTTCCAGAGGGCCGTGAGGACGACATGCTGGTGGACTGGTTCAAGCTCATCCACGAGAAGCACCTGCTGGTGCGGCGGGAGTCCGAGCTCATCTACGTGTGAGTCCTCCCTCCCCTCGGCCCCCTGCGCCTCTTGTTGGAACCCGCACAGCTTAGAATGGAGAGACTCCCCTGTCTTCCTTCTCTTCACTGCCGGTTCAGGGTAGAACAGCCTGCGTGGGCTGAGTTAATAGTCGGCTTACTCCCGCCCTCTAGCTTCAAGCAGCAGAACCTGGAGCAGCGTCAGGCCGATGTGGAGTATGAGCTCCGGTGCCTTCTCAACAAGCCGGGTAAGTGCAGCCTCAAGCACAACCTGGGCACCTGCCCAGGGCCTGGTGGTACAGGGGAGTGGGCCCAGTTCTTCCCCTCCAGGTCGGGCAGTGGACGGACAGCGCCCTGATGTGGGCACAGACTCCGGGCAGGGCCAGAGGAGAGGGCCCGGAGGTGCCGGCTGGGTTGTAACAGGTGATAAATAGGCTTGATCCGTGGTGGTGTGTGACACACGGTGTCAGAGGTGACCGGCTCATAGAGCACCAGGCTCAGGAGCTGAGCACCTGTGGCTGCCCCTCTCCTGGAGCTGTGGGTGGGCGGGTTCAGGGGGAGAAGTTCAGGCTCCGGGGTCCAGGGCTGCTCCGCTGGGTAGATGACGGCAGATGCCTGTCCAGAGGCAGCCCTGGCTCACGGCCGCCAGGCTAGAGCATGGCAGGGGAAGGGAAGGTGGAGGGTACCCCTGCACAGCGTGACTCAGGGTGGCTTCGGGAGGGACAGACAGGGCTGGCTCAGAAAGGTGGAGGGCAGTTGGAGGGACTGGGCGTGGAGTCAGCCAGTCCTGTGTTTTGCTGCTGATGTGCTGGGGGCGGGGACAGGGAGGGAAGGCAGGTTTCTCAGCCTCACTGAGCCTCAGTGGCTTCAAGTGTAAGACAGGATGAAGGTACCTGCCTCATAGGGTGTTACTGGGGCCAAGAGATGGTGGATATGGAAATCCTGTGGCCTCCGAGCGGCTGACAGTTGGTGGTTATTACGTGGCCGAGCTGGGGTCTGTGGCTATGATGGAGTGAGGCCGCAGGGCTAGGGGTGTTTAGCATGGGAGCCAGGCCTCTGGCCGCTTCCTGTGGCCCCGGTTGCGGGCATCGTCGTTGCCATGAACAGATGAGGAAATGGGAGCCCGAGAGGTGGACTCTTGCCCATTGGAGGTGGACCTGGGCTTCTACCCATGTTTCTGACCTGGGTCCGACACTGTAGACACAGCCCTTCCTGCCAGCTGCAGTGGTGGCCTGACTCTGCATTGGGGAAGTTGGAAGGCAGGATGTGACCCTGAGGCAGGAGTGTCCCTAGGGAAGCCACGGGAAGTCCCAGCTGTCTGCTGCCATCTGACGAGATCGGGAGCGTTCGGGGTGCTATGGCTGGAGACTCTGCTCCATCTGTAGTGGGTCCTAAATCTCCGGGAAGGGAGGCTGGGGATGGCCGCCACTCCAAGGGAGACACAGCGACACCTTGTGGCCAGAGTGGGGGGACAACACCTGTATACCCAGGCCTGCCTGGCCCTGGCCTGTTCTGCCTCTCCTCATGGTGGCAGCCCTCTGCATGGTGGCAGCCCCTCCTAGGTTTATCGTCCTGTCCCAGAGGGTGCTTTTGCAGGGTGAGACTGTTTATAAGTCCCCAAGTGGGTTGGAGACCAACAGATACCATAAGGGCTGTAGCTTGAGGGTGTCAGGTTGCCCAGGTTCCAACACTGGCGCCATCCTTGCTGTGTGACACTGGCCAAGGACTTAAACTTCCCCGAGCCTCAGTTTCCCCACATGTAGATTGGTGGCATAATTTACTCAGACCCCAGATTTGGGAAGTGGCAAAGTAGAGCTTGAACTGGGGTGGTGACTCTGTCACCATGCTGTCCCCAGAAGTATGCTGGGCCATCTGCTCCTGACTTGTGGCAAGGTGAAGTGGTCGGGGCTCGGGGCATGGCCGAGGGGACCTCCGGATGCTTGTTTCAAAACAAGGAGTCCTGTGGTGGCAGGTGGGGGGGGCAAGTGTGGGCACCCATCCCCTGGGAGCCCGTGGGCTGGGTGAGAGGAACACACAGGGGCAGGCGGGCCCCTGAGGGTGGTTGTTGAGGATTCTTGAGAGTAAACTGGAGGAGCAGCAGGTATATGACCTCAGGGACACCTCCTGGCTGGGCTCCCTCCCCAGGGCCCCCCCAATCTGCCCTCCTTCATGGCATTGATGTTCCAATATGCCGCTTGGGTCACGTTGCTTCTCCTGCATGAGGACCCCTGGGGTTCCCTGTTCTTTCCCCATCCCTGCCCACTCTGGCCAGCCTGCCTTTGGAAGTTCTCAAGAGGCCCAGCCCAAAGCCTCCCTCCTCCAAGAAACCACCATGAACATTTATTGAATGAATGAATGAACAGAAGCAGGGAGCCATCTGGCACCTGCTGGTCTCTGTTCTCAGAACAGGTGGTGTGGGCCCTCCCGGAGGGTGGTGTTTTTGGTAGGCAGCCTAGTATCCTTGGGCTCTTCCATAATAACCTTCATTTCCCCCAAACGTGTAATCCCCACCCATCTGGGCCCCTCCTTACTGTCCTCCTGCACGGGGCTGGCCCTAACTCAGCACCGAGGCACTCAGGCCTCCTGGGAAGGCAGCGGGGGTTCCTGTCACTCACAGCCCAGCGTTTCTCCTTGGGCAGAGAAGGACTGGACAGAGGAGGACCGGGGCCGGGAGAAGGTGCTGATGCAGGAAATCGTGAACCTCATCGAGCAGCGCAATGCCATCGTCAACTGCCTGGATGAGGACCGGCAGAGGTGACCTGGCCTGGTCAGGGGCTGCCCTGGGTTCCCTGGGGGAAGGGCTCGCTGCCAGTGCACCCTTGTCCAGCCTGTCGGAGTCGGAGGCTGGTCCCTCCCTCTGGGGGAGAGTTAGCTTCCCTTTCTCGTTTCAGGGAGGAAGAGGAAGATAAGATGTTGGAAGCCATGATCAGGAAGAAAGGTGAGGCCCTCCTGGGGCGCTGGTCCATTCAAGTCCTGGGGGGGGCCAGGTTGAGCAGGAGCGTGGAGTGGGTGCTCTGTTTTGCTGGGAAGGCCGTGTGTGGCAAGGCGAGCCAGCCTGCAGCCAGCAAAGCTGTGGCCCGGGCTTGGAGGGTGGGTGTGGGATGCCCTGGTGCCCACAGAGAGGACTGTGGTGTACAGGGAGCATTTCCCAGGGTGGTTCCTTAAGCTCTGTGTTCCTCCTCGAGGCTGCAGGTGGTCTGGGGAGAGTCCATGGGCTCAAATAGCAGTGCTGATCGGTCATAAGATAGCGCCAGGACCGGCTGAAAGAGCACTGGCCCGGGAGTCAGGAGACCTGGGATTAATCTTGGTTCCACCCGTGACTCATTGTGTGGCCTTGTGGTTAAGTCTGGACTCCATTCAGAGTGCTGGGGTTCTAGTCCCAGCTGTGGAGCTTGCTTGTGGGTGACTTGAGCCAGCCACTTCTCCTGCTCGGCCTGCCTGTCCTGGTCTGCAGAACTGGGGTGCAGGCCCACCTCCCAGGTGTGTGCTGAGCACTTCACCAGCCTGGCACTTACAAATAGCTCAGTTGGTGCTAGTCCATTTCAAACCCACGTTTCCCTCGTTTATAAAATGAGGGCTAGGAGATGATTTCTGAGATTTCTTCTAGCTCTGACAGTATTTGTATTGTAACGCATAGAGCTGTGAGTACCAGCCTGGGGAACCAACCTTTTATTTTTTTATTAAAAAAAATTTTTTTTTCTTTATTGATTTTAGAGAGAGAGGAAGGGAGAGAGAGATAGAAACATCAATGAGAGAGAACATCTATTGGCCGCCTCCTGCATGCCCCCCACTGGGGATCGGGCCCACAGCCTGGGCATGTGCCCTGACCGGGAATTGCACCAGCGACATCTTGGTGCCTGGGTCGACACTCAACCACTGAGCCACACCAGCGGGGCTGGGGAACAAACCTTTTAAAGATAAATGTATGCCACATTTCAGAGGGCTCACACTCCTTTATCTCAGGTCCTTGCCAAAATACTCGGAGAGGGTGTGGCTCCCATCCTAAAGCCAAAGAACCAGAGGCTCAGAGAAGTGACGTGCCCAGGGCTCCAGGAGCGGGGGCTGGAGCTGGGCTGGCACTCCTAGGACTCTGTCACAACCTCTGGCCTGCCCAATGGACCCCCCTTCTCTCCTGCAGAGTTCCAGAAGGAGGCTGAGTCCGAGGGCAGGAAGAAGGGGAAGTTCAAGACCATGAAGGTGCTGAAGCTGCTAGGAAATAAGCGTGACACCAAGAGCAAGTTCCCCGGGGACAAGAGCTAACATCGAGGGGACTTCCACCACCCCCTGCTGGTACCGCCCTGCCCAGTCTGGTTCTGATGACTCCAGATGCTGTGATGGACCCAAGGAGCAAGCAGGGGCCCGGGTCCAGGGAGCGGCAGCAGCTGGGCACACCTGCTCCTCGTCCTGCCCAGCCCCTGCCGTAACAGGAGCTCCTGGGTCCTTCCCTCTGTGTCATGTCCGGATGGGATTCTTAGCTGTCAGAGTTCTGACTGAGGGTCCTTCCCCCACAGGGTCTGTGCAGGGGTCTCCTGCCTTAGGGCTCTGCTCCCCTCGGCAGGCCGGGCTGTGCTGGCTCTGGTCCCTGTCCTCCTCCCAGGGCAGGGGCCCGAGTCTGTTTCTCCTCACTCAGGAGCTCTATTTATGAAGTCCCTAGTTTACTTAGTGACTCTGTCCTCAGACTCGAATGGACCTGGTGGACGAAACCCTCCCTGTCTCTGGAAAATCTAGGAGGTGCTTCCTTCCTCTTTCCTTGCTCTGTAGGAACCTCACCAGCGCAGGGCTGTGACGGCCGCACTGGGTGGGTGGGGGCCCTATGCTGAGTCTCCCAACGACAGTCTCTGGAAGGCAGGCCCCGGTTGCAGTTCTGGTCCCTGATCGATGCTTTCCGTAGGTGCTAATCCTGGTTCTTTAACACACTGTAGTCTGAGCCTCATTGAGGCTCCCCCTCCCCCCAGGAGGGCATGGGGGGCCCATTTCTGTGCGTGGCCATCCCCAGTCTCCTCACACTTCTCTGTTGTTTGTTCTTTCCTGACTTATTCTCACCAAAGGACTGACGGCCACTCACCCCACTGGGGGGCGCCGATGGGAGCAATGCCTTTTCCCCAGGGACCGTGCCAGCAGCTCCTGGTCGAAACACTGTTGCTATAAGCTATTTCTGGGGACCTCTAGGCCCCCTCCCCTCAGCACCCTCTGGGAAAGGTCACACTGTACTAATCCGTGAGGGTTTTCCTCACTAACCATAAATGGAGACAACCTCAATGCCAGAGCCCTGCAGCGCTCCCAGCCAGGTCTGCCTTCCTCCCTGCCTCCACTGCGGCCAGGGCTCACTGCTGGCCCGGGGCGTGGAGGGCTGTCCGCTGACTGTCCACTGACGGGGCTGTGACCCTCACTGCCTGGTCGGGCAGGGCTCCCTTGCTCTGCAGGGAGAGGTGGCTGCTGCCCCTGGTGGTCTCATTCCAAATGTGCCTGTTGACCTGGAGCTGGGGTCACCAGCTCCAGGGTGTTTCAGGGGCCAGGACACACGAACTGGCTGGGTGTCAGGAGACTCGGGTGGTGGGGCCTCGGGGGAATGGGTGTGTCTGTGCCATAGCTAAAGGGGGAGGGTCTTCCTTACGTCAACTGTAGCCCTTGGGAATGTGGTCCAGTGTCGTCAGATCTTTCCATTTTTCAAAAGAAACTAGAAATCTAGATACTGTGTGTGTGTGTAATTTGTAAATGTTGGCAACTAACCGCAAATTAAACCAAGGGTAGGCTGCATGCATCCTAGGGCACTCCAGTTTGCTGCCTCTGGGCCACGCGGGGCCTCTGAGGGGGAGGATGGTTGTCCTTGTCATGCTGCACCCTCTGGCCCCAGGTTCTGGAGGGCGTGTGGACACAGGCTTCCCCTGGAATGTTCCTGAACCAGCCCGTGATCTGCCCCTGCTCCGCTTACCTGTTTGAGGCTGTGGGTGGAGTTTACCCTACAAACCAAACCCTGGGTCATGTGGCCTGTAGGGCTATATGAATCCCTTCAGGTCGGAGGGTTGGCTGAAAATGTCAAAATGTTTTGATTTATGGAGACAAGAAAATGACAGAATACTGGGGAATGTAGGGCTCGTGGTTGTCAAAAGACAATGGGGACCATGTACTGTGTGCCAGGCCGGGGCTGCTCGGGACAGACGCCTCCTCTGAGGCTGGGCGCCCACGCTCAGGCAGCACAGGCTGGACTGGAATGCCAACGCCAGAGCTCTGGGTCCGGGGCCTTCCCAACCCTCTGTTTCCTCCTCTGGCTGTGGGTTTAGTGCAAGGACACACAGCTAACTCTCATTCCTGAGTGGGCTACTTGCTAGTGGAATGACCTCGGTCACAGTACCGTGGTGAGCCTGTTTTCACAGGATGACGAGCCACCGCAGGGGTTACGGAGGGAACCACCTGCACCTGCCACGGCGCCAGCCATCGGTGCTCGAGAGGCGCTGGTTTCCACTTCCGCTTGAAGTATGCAAACAACTAGAAACATGCTTGAAAAATTCTAACTCCTTGAACAAATAAGCCTTATCCCTTTGAATACAAAACGGCATGTGTAATGACCTGCTTTAAATGTATTTTATTGGCCGATTAATCATAGTGGTTAAACATTTGCCCAAGGCTGTAAGAAGTGAAATAAGTAGGTCCTACAATAGGGAGGACGAAAGGCATCATATTCATTCTTAAGTCCAGAAAACTAAATGTGGGGACACAGTGGGTGGAGAGGGTGGGAAGAGGCCGCTGCGCGCCCTTAGACGTTCGCCCCAGACGGTGAGACTCAGGCCTTGCTTCCACTGTCCGGGGCTCTTCCCCCAAGAAAAGACTCAGTCATGTGTGCATGTGTCTGTGACTGGGTCTCAGGCACAGCTGACCCAGGGCCCCTGGGCACAGTCTTGAGAATCAGCTCATTCTCTGATGTCCATTTTCTAGGGCGCTGGATATGCCCGGGGGGTACCTTAGGCTGGGGCAGTGCTGTGTGACCACTTGACGTGGCTGAAGGCCCGAGTGGGTGTGCTGACCTGGGATGACCCTGCCTGGCAAGGGGGGGTGGGCTCCAGCGGTCAAGGTTGGGTTACTCCGCCCCTGGGGACAGGTTAGGTGCTGGCCAGAGCCTTGCTAAGATCCTCACTCCTCTGGCGGTCAATGTCTTCCATTTCCCGGAGTTTCTGCAGAGGGTGTCAGGGGAAGCTGGGTACCAGAGCAGGAACTCTCGGAGCCTACATAGATCTGAGGCTACAGCTGGACTCCCCAAACCTCAACCACCGCTGACCCTCTATTTCTACTCGAATCTCACACTCCCGGGCAGGGTGGCTGCGGCCCCTCCCATTTGCCTGTTGCTCCTCCTACCTGGGAGATCTCAGCAAGGATGATTCCTCGGTACTGTCTGCCCTGTCCCAGGGCCTCCATGTCAGCCAGGAATTCTTTCCTCTCCTGGATCTCCCTGACCACTAGACAGGGAAAAGGTCGTCATCATACAGGGCAATGGCCAGCAGGCTCCCGGGCGGGTCGGGAGGGGCAGGAGCTGCCTCTCGGGCAGAGGAAGCAGTTCTATGGTCAGACACTGTTTCTCACCAGTTGGCTGGCAGGGATCAGCCCTCCCCCAGCCTGGGCCCCCAATCCTGGGCCCCCTCACCCTCCCTTCCCCAGCATAACGCCCTCAGTGGCTTACGTTCTTCAAACCGGTCCAGCTCAGGGGCTGGGTCCTCCCTTTGCACGGGAGGGGGCTTTCTTTTCCGTTCCTCTTTATCCTTCCCCGTGGCCAAGATATTTTGGAGTCTTCGCTTCTCCTTCTCCAGATCTCCTGTAAGGCCCAGAAAGGCCTGGTCAGGGCATGAAGGGCACCCCCATTCGTGGCTGGTGTTCCCAATTGGGATGCTTGCTCCAAGGTGCCTGGGTAACATGGAAAGCGCTTCTGCAATCCCGGCACCTTCCACCCAGGGCTCCTGGGCCTGTCGTGTCAAGATAGGCAGGAAAACCCACACACAGCTTTGGTGCCGAGCAAGGCTGAGAAAGCTCAGTGATCGCCATGTGGCAGCCTGTGTGCAGAAGCTGTGTGCAGTCTAGGAGGGTCTGGGCTAAGAGTTGTGTCAAATGCCAAGGAGGAGGGGGGATGAACGGCTCCCTGAAGTAGGTTGGGGCACAGAGAGCTCGGACCCGAGGCACCGTGTAAGCTTGAGAGACCAGCGGTCATGGGATCTGATGGTCAGCCATTCATCAGAGACTGGTAGAATCCAGTTAATTGTCAAAGAGCATTCTGGAAAAATTTTGAAAAAGGACAACCTGTTTTCCCCTGCACCCTGAACACCCCCAAGCATAGGGATAAACAGGAGAATTTGATGAGATACTCGCTCACCTGCCCTATGGGCTGCTCATCTTCCCACACCCCCATCCCCCATGGACAGAGGTAGGAGAGGTTCTGTCCAGGCCCTCTGACTTACGGGTGGCCCGAGGCTTGAACTGCTCCCGGCTGTAGGCCCCGTTGGCCTGGCACACGCTGGCAGGCCGGAGGCTGGACCGGGCTGTCAGGATGGGAGGCAGGCAGATAGCCGAGGCTGGCTGCTTGGAAGGCAAGACCCTCTGGCTGGTTGTTGGACTGCAGTATAGGGGCAGAGCACCTCCTCCTGGGGAAGAAAAGGTTGGAGTTGGGGGGATCCACTGGCTTTTTTTCAACTAAAAGTGGCACCTGCCTGTTATAACAAGGCTAACAGTACAGTACCTTCTCCCCTCCAGTACCCCCTCTACAGTGAGCAATGACAGTTTGGTGGTCTCAGGCCGTTCTTTTTGATGCTTATATAAATATGTTCAAAGATATATGAGCATATTTAAGATTTTATTTTCAAACTGTGACCATACTGTGTTATATTCAATGATAGACTCTTAATAATTTATCGTGGATAGCTTTCCAGATCACTCCATTTATATAATTTATTTTTTTACAGCTGTATACTCGTCCTTTTAATGGCTACATTAGATATTCAACTAGTCTCTTAGTTTCAGAAAGCCAGGCTATTTTTATTCTGTTTTTACAACTTCAAACAATGCTACAATAAACATTCTTGTACATCAAGCTTTTGTACTGGTGCTTTTATCTCTATAGATGGATTCCTAAAACCCGCTTGGTCCACGGGTAAGGAGGGGTGGTTTGGATGGATTCCCTTCTACTGTCCATCCTCACTACCTAAGCCCAGACCTGGGGCTCCTCCCCCAGGCCAGCCAAGTATGTCACCTCCTGTCTGGTTGACGGGCCCCTCCTCTTAGTCACCCTGACGCCCAGCTCAGAGCAGCCCCCACCCACTGTTTGGCTCTGGCTCCTGTCTACCTCTTCTACTTTCCCAGCCTTCTATCATGCACCCAGCGAAGACATGAGCAGTCCCAGGCCCAGGACACTGGGGGTAGAGCGTAAGACTAAGACCTGCTTTTGTGGCACCTGCATTTGGGGGTATGGAAGATGATAAAATAAAATCTATAGTATGTTAGGTGATGGAGCCTAGTGTGCATGACGGCAGGATTTACCATTTAAATAGGGCAGCCAGGGAAGCCCTCAGGAAGAAGGTAACCTTTGAGAACAGACCCACTAGTGGTGAGGGGGACAGCTATGCAGATATTTCAGGGAAGAGCATTTGAGGCGGAGGGAACAGCTAGAGCAAAGGCCCTGAGGTGGGCATGTCCCTGGAGTGTCTGAGGAACAGCCAGGAGGCTAGGGTGCTGGGGAAGGAGTGAGCAGGAGGGGTGTGGTGGGTGTACAGGTCACAGTTCATGAAATACAAGAAGACAGGGCCTCTGGAAGACAGGCTCTTACTTTGTGTGAGGTTAGAAGGCACTGGAGAGTTCTGAGCAGAGGAATGACATGCTCCTTGGTTGCTGTTGAAACTACAGTGTTGGGAGCCAAGAGTAGAGGTGGTCAGAGTCAGGATATGGTTTGAAGGCCAAGCAATGGGCTAGCTGATGGGTCAGATGAGGGGTCTAGGAGATGAGGAGTCAAGGATGACTGAGGTGTCTGCCCTGAGGAACTGGGAGGATGGAGCTGCCAATATTTCCTACTGACTTTACCCTTCTCACGTCCTCTACCTGGGGCCACGGCTTTATGCGTCTCTTTTCCAAAGAGATGCTGTGCTTCCTAGAAGGTCCCTCCTGCTCCCTCCACTTCCTATTTCTGCCCATCCGGTGCTAAATGCCACCTCTTTCTTTGGCCCATTCTCGGCAAATAATTATGGCCCCAGTGATTCTGGATGTTCAGGTAAAGGAAAGAAATGTGTGGCTTGCAACAGAATTTGAACTAAGGCTCAAAACAGTAGTAGGGCCCGGCCGGTGTGGCTCACTGGTTGAGCATCATCCCATGCACCAAGAGGCCACTGGTTTGATTCCTGGTCAGGGCATGTACCTGGGTTGCAGGTTTGATCCCTGGCCTGGTCGGGGTCATGCAGGAGATAATCAATCAATGTGTCTCTCTCACATTGATGTTTCTCTCTCTCCTCCCCCTCCCTCCCTTCCATTCCACTCTATCTAAAATAAATCTATGGAAAAATATCCTCAAGTGAGGATTAATAAAAAGAAGAAGAAGAGGAAAAAGGAGGAAAAGGGAGGAAGAGGAGGAGGAGGAGGAGGAAGCAGACTGAACACCAATGCTTAGAGGCAATTAAAAAATAAAAAAACTTCTAAGGGGAATAACACCGCCAGATGAACCAGTTACTTGTGTTGGCCTAACAATTAATGCGGTTAGTCCTTCAATAAATATTGAGCAGAGTTCTGGGGCTACCATGGTGAACAAGGCCGACATAGTCCTTGGTCTTCTGGTATTTCCTTTTAGTGGAATTTCTAGGATAGTCTCTTTGTAGTTGTGCTACAAGAGACACCAATTTTAATACGTTACTGAGTCTGGATATTGAGTTATGATTCAGATGTGTTATGTCACTAGGCTCTGCCAGCCTGAGTTGTCCTTGCTCACAATAAGGAAGAACATGTGACCCCTGACCTGGCCTGATGGAGCCTCCCTCCCCCAGCCAGTGCTGAACAGGCACTGCCATTATCTGATTCTCTGCATCTTCCATCCCTATGCTTCTGTGGTTGATCAGATGTCCTCCTAATAGGCACATTCTTTCTTTAGAGAAGGCAATAGCTTTTGATAGATTCAAGTAAAACTTGGCAGGCCGGCTGTGGCATTCTCTCTCTCTCTAATTGATTTTAGAGAGGAAAGGGGGGAGAGAGAGAGAAGGAGAGAGAGCGAGAGAGAGAGAGAGAGAGAGAGAGAAACATTGATGAGAGAGAGAGAGAAACACTGATCTGTTGCCTCCTGTATACACCCCGACCAGGGTTCAAACCCTCAACCTGACTGGGAATTGAACCTGCCATCTTTTGGTATATGGGAGGATGCTCCAATCAACTGAGCCACACCGACCAGCACTGGCATTCTGTCTCTTAAAGGCAACTTTACAGGTCTCTGTTCTGATCCATTAAATGTTGATTCAGAAAGCAAGGGTTTTTATAAGATCTTAGTGCCCATGTACTTTCACCTTTAGTTTTTCTTAAAAATAAATAATACAAGGTGTGGTCAGAGGTGAGCTGTGGAAAGGCTTTGCATAGTCTTCCTAAGTTGGAATTCTGCCAATTTCCTCGTTTCTGCTGGCTAAGCTATGAAGTAATAAAATGACAAGACACATACACAGTCCGCTCCTCTGGAGAGCTCACAGGGTATGGGTGTAACAGGAAGGGAGAGACTGTAGACATGATAGTTTTGAGACAGTTTTGGCTGGGCAGGAAGTTTCGATTGCTCTGGGATCTCTTGGGAAGGTTGGCTAGAGTTGGACTGCAGGAGGCTTCTTGTGCTGGGATGCATGTCAGGGAGAAGTAACAAAGGCTCCTCAAGGTCAACTCCCCAGGGGCAAGGTAAAAAATACTACACTATACTACTGTGGTCTTTTAAAATGATGCCCCTACCCCTTAATATGGAGCAGCATTAAAAACATGGCCCAGGCCCTGGCCGGTTTGGCTCAGTGGTTAGAGCGTTGGCCTGCGGTCCGGAGAGACCCGGGTTCGGTTTCCGCTGGGGGCGCGTACCTCGGTTGCGGTTTGTCCCCGGCCCTGGTTGGTCGTGCGGGTGGCAGCCACTTGATGTGTTCCTTTAACATCAATATTTCTCTCTCTCTCTCTCTCTCCCCCTCCCACTCTATCTGAACAAAAATGGAAGAATGTCCTTGGGTGAGGATAAAAACAACAACAACAACAAAAAACCATGGCCCAGAATCCCTCTGCTCAGGATGCCTCTGTGGACCGACTCTTACTTTTCATGGTGTCCATGATGTGGCGCTGTTGGAATTTCGTCAGTTTGGATTCCTTCATCATTGCTGCAAGATAAAGCACTTTATTGAGGCCTCCTGGGCTGCAGGCAGAAGGCTCCATCTCATGCCACAGAAATTTAAAGTGATCACCCCCTACCCCATTCTGCACCTGAGTCCTCCCTCTCTTCCACCCCTGCTTTCTTTTCTTCTATGCCACTGATCACCATCTAAGTTCTATAGACTTTACTCATTTTTTATGTTACACTCCTACTAAAATATTTGCTCCATGAGAGCAAAATTTTTTGCTTTTTTTCTTTTCCTTATGCTGTATCCTCAGCACCCAGAACAATGTCTAAAGTACAGAGTGGGCTTTTAAAGTTTTTTTCCTTGAGTGAATGAGTAAGTATTCACTAAGCGTGTGTGAGACACTGGAGCTACAATAGAGAGCCAACACAGGAACAGTCCTGCCCTGATGGAGTTCACCGGTTAGAGGGGTAGATGGTTACTGATCCAATGGGACACACTAAATACCAGACTACAGGCTATGCTGAGTCCAATGAAGAAAAAGCTATTTGGTAGGTTAGGGCACACCCAGTTGGTTCCACTGTTGGGGTAGGTGGGGAAGAGTTGAGGCTTCCCGGGAGGAAACTGAAAGGGATGCACAGGAGTTATCTACTCTAAAATTCTTAGTTCTTTGACTTTTGGCCACTTGCAAGTTGTAGGACACGAACCTTCCTGAACCCAAGGTTTCTGGTCTGTAAAATGAAAATAGCAATTGCTAAGCCACAGGGCAGGAGGGGGAGACCTGAGTGTCAGAGGGTAACTGCTACCACCGTTCTTACCCTGTCCTTTAAACGCACTGACCTCTGAGGAGCTCGCAGGTCCCAGGGGTGTAAGTGGCCTGCTTGGGGCAGGGCCAGAACCCCCTTCCTTTGGTCGCTGCCTCCACCCTACCCTGGGAAGCCATGGGAGGGCCCTGAGGAGAGAAAAAAAGTCTATTCAGCCCCCGCCCCCAACACCACCCAAATCTGGGAGCGGGTCTGGCCCCAAGAGAACTGTGACGCCTCTCTTCATGGCTGAGACAGTGCCCGATCTTTCCACCCCGAACCCAGGAAGACACACACGAACAGAAACCTCATCTTGATCCGGTGTCTGTGGCAGGAAAGGCCCTAGGAAGGGGGCCTTAAGATAGTGCCTCGGGTGTTACGCCCAAATTGAAACCTCACCCTAAAGTAAGACGCCGGCTGGGTGGGCCCCCCGCGGACCGCGGCGGCTGGAATCGGGAGACCGTAACCACGGTTCTACCGCAGCGCCGCGCGGGGGCCCAGCAGAAATACTCTGAGATCCCGCCGTACAGAGCCGGCAGCCGGACGCTTTCTCGCTACCATGGTAACGAGCACCTGCTACTCGGCGCATGCGCACACCTACAGTGCTGGCCTGACTTCCGGAAGTAATTGCCTCCGGGTCATCGCGCAGGCGCAGAGGACGTGTGGTGCTGCGCGAGGCGGCGCGTTTGTTCGCGGGTCTGCGCCGGGGTCTGGGGTGCGGGCTCGGGTCGCTCCGGCGCCGGCGTCATGTCAGACAACGAGGACAAGTGAGTGCGGGAGCGAAGTGAGCTTCGCGGATCCTCGGGATGGGCGGGTGAAGCGGGAGCCTGGGTCGAAGGAGGCTGAGGAGCCAGGAGTCGGGGAGCAGTCTCGGAGGGCAGCGGGGCTGCCGAGGGGGCCCGCGGGGCGGGGGCGGGGGCGGGGAAGGGCGCGGAGCTAGAAGCGTAGCTGGAGGTTGGGCAGAGAAAGGCTCAGGCTCGAGGGCCCAGAGCGTCAGTGGGGAGTGTCCGCCGGCAGACTTGTCCTGAGCTTGTTTTGGCAGCAGTGGGGTGTATCAGGCGTCGTCCCTGCTCTCCACGTGCTGCCTTCCAGAAGGGCACGGGCCGGCAAGCAGGTAGCACAGCATCGTGGGAGACTGGGCAGTATAAGTTCGTAGAACAGCAGGTCCTCCAGCGACGTCGTTTTGTTCCAACGGTGATGAGATGCTGTAGGAACTTAATTCCTGTTTATACAGTATCAGTTAGCCCATGGTAAAGTTGGTTTCGTCATGCATTCTTTTTTTTTTTTAATTGATTTTAGAGAGAGGAAGGGAGAGGGGGAGAGAGAAACATCGATGAGAGAGAACATCGACTGGCTGCCTCCTGCATGCCCCGCACTGGGGATTGGCCCATAACCTGGGCATGAGCCCCGACAGGTACATGGGTCGATGCTCAACCACTGAGCCACTCTGGCCGGGCTTGTCATGCATTCCTTTGCGTAAAGTCGCAGAACCTATTTACAGTGTGATGTATTACGTGAGGACTTACTATATAGAAGTACTCCAGAAGCAGGACTGGTGAGACTTTGAAGGGTTGTGGTAGTCTGGGTGAGAGAAGGAAGTGGCTTGTACTAGGGTGAGAGTAGTAGAAGTAGTGAGAAGTGGTTTTGAATTCTGGATTTATTTTGAAGTTAGGGCCAAAATGATTGTCTGATGTGTGAGGTCCAAGGAGAGGTCTGTTCTGAAGATAAAAATAGGGGAGTGGTCCATATAAGGATATTAGTCCAAACTAAGCAACAGGTGAGATCAGGGGAATGTCAGTCAAGAAGAGGAGGTGACTGCTGGACCCTCGAGCTTGAGCCTTTCTGTGCCCAACCTCTGGCCATGCTTTTGGCTCCCAGTAGAGAGATAAAAGAAACAGTGATGATGAATGAGTCCTAACAAAATTTAGGGGCTGATGGGGGCAAGTTTGAAGTAGTAAAATGAAACACAAGTTTGATTTACTCATTAAGTAGGTATTTATTGAGGACCTCCTAAATATTGGATGAGCACCTTTTGCTCTTTTTGATTCCAGTAAGTGATGCTCTAACTAACTGGCCTCTTTTTGTACAGTTTTGATGGCGATGACTTTGATGATGTGGAGGAGGATGAAGGACTGGATGACTTGGAGAATGCTGAGGAGGTCAGTATTTAGCTTTGGGCTCTCCCTTCTGCACCCCAGGCTGCCAAATAGCCTGGCCAGTGATAATTCCCTGAATGCCTCTGCCTCCTGTTTGTGGTCAGAGCCCCTGCCACAAGCACCCCCAATTAGAGTGAGCAGAGTTCTGGTCCTGGGTGGTGGAGAAGCCCTTCAGGGTGGGCCTGAAGGCTTTTGTCCATTTGGATTACAGCCCGCGGCTTCTGGAACAGTCAGTTCACTGATGAGTGAAATGTCACCTTCATTCAACAAATGTGTTGAATGTTTATTGTGTGCCAGGTACACTGCAGAGTGGGAGCAAGGGGGAGAGGGACCTGGGATGAAGTTGGAGAGGTAAGGGCCCAGATCAGGCAGATTTCATAGCCTAAAGGTAGCGGGAAGCCACTGACGAGTTTTGAGCTCGGGAGTGGCATGATCCAGTTTGCACTTTAGAAAGAGCACACTGCCTCAGTAAGGAGCAAATTGGGGAGAAACAGGAGTAGAAGAGCGAAACCAGTTAGGGAACTTTCATAGATTCCAGGTGAGAGACCTGCAGCTTGGACTTCGGCACTACTAGAGTCAGGAATGAGAAAGAGGAAAGAAATATTTTGATAGATTGGATATGGGGTGGAGAAAGTGGGAGATGATGAGGATGACTCCTAGGTTTCTGGCTTGAGCAACTAGGTAGATGGGTTACTAGCTTCATGAATAAAATAGGGCTTTCTCTCTTGTGTGACGGATGGAGGAAGAAGTGCTTTATATCTCCTGCAGAGAGTGATCCCTTGACTTTTTTAGGCTAGAAAGCTGAAGCCCCTCTTTGAATTTTCTCTCTGCATGGCACTCTCGGGTACCTATTCGCTGTGTCAGAAACCTCCTTCCCCATCTTTCTGGTCCCCTTCCATGCCTATGAGTTTTGCCTCCTGCATGTGGTTCAACCCTGTTCTTTTTCTACATACCTAGTGCTCAGCTTGGTTTAGATCTTTACTGTTTTCTTCCAACGTTACTGCAGAAATTGTGTTCCTGATTTTCCTGCCTTCAATATGCCTGATTGCTTTTCTGCTGCCAGAGTCATCTTTCTTACTGGCCACATGATTGTTTACTATTGGTCTTCCTTAAAAAGGTCTCTTTGCTTCTGCCCTCGCCCCTACAGAGTATTCTCGACAGAGTATCCAGAGTGATCATTTTAAATGTTGTCAAATTGGTCTTTCTTCTGCTCAGAGCTCTCATCCAGTGGTTTCCCATCTCATTTAGAATAAATGCCAAAAAGATGTACAAGGTTCTCCATGATCTGGCCACTTGCTGTCATTGTGACCTTATCTCTTCTTGCTGTCCCTGTCATGCCAAGCAGATTCCTGCTTAGGACCTTTGATCACGCTGTTGCCTCTTCTAAGAAGACTTTTTCTAAGATATGCACATGACCTGCCACTTTCCTTCTTCAGGTCTTTGTCCAAGTCATCTCAGTGAGGCCTTCTGTGACCATCCTGTTTACAATTGCAGCATCTGCCCTTCCTCCCACACCACTGCCCTGACTTTGTCTTTTTTCTCTCTTGTTGTACTGTACTGTACATTTTACTTATTAATTGTATTGTTTATCTCTTTTCATTATAATATAAGCTCTATAGGGGAAGAATTTTTATGTCTTCCTGCTCTGTCCCATGCACTTAGAACATTACCTGATACGTAGTAAGCACTCAGTAAATATTTGTTGACTGAATTGTTTATTATAGAATTTATTCTCCTGCCTCCTATCCTTTGTGCACCTTTGCTCTCATCATACTGCAAAATTAGTTGTCTAAACCTAGTATATTCTCTTCCTCCTCTTTCCTTTGGACATGCAATTCAACCTGCCTGGAATGTCCTTCCTTCCTTGTTGGCTTGGGAACTCCTATTAATTCTTTTATACTAGTTCAGGTCTCATCTCTGGACTGCCTTCCTAACCCCCTGCATGAGTTAGATGTCTCCCACCTTCTTGTTGATTTTGTTGCACACTTGAATACCTACAACGCACCTGTTGTTTTGTTTACTCTTGTTTCCTTCCCAGGCCGTGAATTCTTTGAGAGCAGAAACTCTTAGCTTTCTGTCTCAGCACCTATTATGATATCTGGCATGTGACAGATGCTTAATAAAGAATTGTTAAATAGCCCTGGCCGGTTTGGCTCAGCAGTTAGAGCCTCCGCCCGTGGTCCAGAGAGATCCGGGTTTGGTTACTGCTAAGGGCACGTACCTCGGTTGCAGTTTGTCCCCAGCCCTGGTTGGGTCGTGCAGGAGGCAGCCACTTGATGTATCCCTTTCACGTTGATGTTTCCCTCCCTCCCTCCCTTCCTTTCTCTCTATCTGAACAAAAATGGAAAAATGATCTCCAGTGAGGATAAAAAAAAAGAATTGTTAAATATATGAATACATACATATGTGAAAACATATTTGGTATGTTTATGCCTTCACTCTGACTTTTTAACCACTTGACCCATTGACTCAGTTATCCTGAAGATGAAATGCTTGTCCCTTGCTTCCTGCTTAGGGTGATTTGTTGTCTGTACTCAAGGACTTCTTTGTATGGGCCAATGTTCCTGGACTGCCCCCTCTCTGGACCTTCTGTTTCTCCCTTCTGGATGAGGCAGCTGGTTTTGGAATCCTCATCATGGTTCTTCTCTTTTACTGGATCTGAGACTTTGGCCAAGTTAGCTAACTCTCCAAGCCTCTAAAATGGCACTGTAATCCCTACCTTATGTTATTGTGAGGATTAAATAAGTAGGTCGCTGGCATGTAATAGGCAATAGTGGTTGTGGTCGTTATAATCATTGTAATCATCACCCTCCCCCTCACCCCCAATAATGCATCCTGAGATTTTTCCTCCTTCTTCCTTGGTGTCCAGGAGGGCCAGGAGAATGTTGAGATCCTCCCCTCCGGAGAGCGACCGCAGGCCAACCAGAAACGAATCACCACGCCGTATATGACCAAGTATGAGCGAGCCCGCGTGCTGGGCACCCGAGCCCTCCAGATTGCGTGAGTGTGTGCCCCGTCTTTCCTGTTCATCAGGCCACAGAGAGCCTCCAAGCTGTTGATGTGGCCCAGCCTGACACCTAAGAACAGACTCTTCCTGCTCTCAAATGCTAAAAGTGTGGATTTAGAGAGCCCTAGACCATTGTGGGCCAGTAAGTTGTGGGTGCTGTGGCAGCACCCATTGGGCTTATGGTGGTTCTTGATTTGAGCTAGACTGTGGCCAGCCCAGAGGAGTGGGAGAGCCCTCCATGTAGAGGCCATGCTGGAGATGTGAAAACAGAACAGTGGTGCGGTTCTGGGGATTTGAAATTAGCAAACTCCTCTCTATCTTCCAAGTTTGGAACCAGTTGAAAAATAACAAGATTCGAGAGAGAGCCAGTGGATAGGTGGAGACCAAGATGTCTGATGAGGCCCTGGCCAGTATTGTTCCATAGTTGGAGCGTCGGCCCACATGCTGAAGGGTCGCAGGTTTTATTCCTGGTCAAGGGCATGTACCTAGGTTGTAGGTTTGATCCCTGGCCCTGGTGGGGGCATGTGCAGGAGACAACTAATCGATGTGTCTCCCCCTTCCACTCTCTCTAAAAATAAGTGGAAAAAGTATCCCTGTTGAGGATTAACAACCGTGTCTGCTGAGTGCATGGTCAGGCAGTGCAGGCGTCTGGAAGCTGGGTCTGCAGGGGCAGGCCTGCCTGGGAAGGTGCTGCGCCTCACAGAAGTGCCCTTTCTGCAGGCAGGTGGCTTTGAGAATGCAGACTCCCAAAAAAGCTGTGCCACAGATGCCTGCTTTCCCCTCCAGGTTCCTCTGTCAGATCAATTACTTCTCCTCGGGGTGGGGTAAGTCGGGGAACAGAGAGAGGGCAGGTGTGGTACTGTTGCTCTCATAGAAGGTCTCCTGGGGAAACACAAGGCCAAGGAAAGGAGCCCTACCCAGACTTCTTACAAGCTGGTGTGGGAAATGGTGGTTATCTGGAAATTGGGTTGCTTCAAGTGGGGAGTAGTGGAAAATAGGGTAGAAAGAAAGCTGGGGCCAGCATTGTGGAGTTTAGCGTGCGGAGGGGCAGTGACACCTAATCTGTGCGTTCCCCCCTAGTTTTCAGTGAGCATTGGACGTGATCTCCAGTCCTGTGGGGTGAAGATGACCACTGTGTCCACTTCAATAAAGGGTTTTGCAGCTGGGCAACATTGTTCCTCATCCGTTCCTCAGCAGTAGACCTCTTGCCAGCCTGGTTGCACTCTTTGCTGGTCTGGGGGAAATTAGAACCACAATCCGTATGATAATTTTGGTATCCCTGGGGTCCAGATCCTCGAGGCCCGCACCATCAGTTATGGTAGCTACTAAATACATGTGGTCATTTAAATTTAAATTAATTAAAATCAAAAGTCAGTTGTTTGGTGTCATTAGTCATATTTCATGTAGTAGTCAACTGTGGCCGTGGCTTCCATAATGAAGAGTGCAGATAGAACATTTCCACTGCTGCAAAGCATTTTATTGGTGCTCTAGTGCTCATCTCTGCAAAATGACCCACCAGAAGGAATAATTCATGAATTATTTTTCAAATAAGTTAAAGTCTTTCAACATTGAATATGATACCATGCTTGTACCTGTCGGGGATGAGAAGATAATTAGACACAATCCTCCTGTCTTCCAGGTGTTTATTGCCTGGTGGGGAGATGGACCCCTTCACAAGTACCCAGAACTCAAGGCAGGCAGGTGTCATGCTTTGTAAGAGGTGCCAAAAGGGAGAAGGGAGTAATTGCAGGGGTGACTGGAAAAGCCTCATGAGGAGGTTAGAGTTAAGTGGGGACAGGGAAAGGGAGGTGGTTTTGGTTTTGAGGGACCACAAATAGCACAAGGAAAGGTCCAAGTGGAGACAGGCAAGTGTGGCTTGTGGTGGGGAATGAATGGCAAGTGTCTTGGGGTACAAGACTTGGAAAAGATGTCACTGGTGCCTTGAGTGACAAGTTCAGAAGATTGGTGTGTGTTTGGTGGGCAGTGGGCAATACTTAAAAGTGTGGAGACAGGCCCTGGCTAGTTTGGCTCAGTGGTTAGAGCGTCAGCCTGTGGACCAGAGAGTCCTGGGTTTGGTTCCCACTAAGGGCACATACTTTGGTTACAGTTTGTCCCCAGCCCTGGTTGGGGTCATGTGGGTGGCAACCACTCGATGTGTCGGTCTCACATTGGATGATTCTCTCTCTCTCTTCCTCCCTCTCTCCTTCCCGCTTTGCCTGAAGATAAATGCAAAAAAGTCCTTGGGTGAGGATTAAAAAAAAAAAAAAAAGTGTGGAGACAGACATTCAGAACACTACTAAGTCCCAGTGACTTGCTTTTCTATGGAAGCAAGGCATGGTCCCATTTGGTTGGGTCTGCAGTGCTCCTTCTGATTAAGGGGTAGGATGCTGTCCGGTGGTTCCCTACCTGCTGTGACTGGTGGACAGCCAGGGCTGTAGCTTATCTCCAGCACTAGGTGTGCGACCCTGCATGTAGGTGCTGAACAAACATTTCTTGGTCCTTTTTTAGAGAAGTCTTATTCCTTTCATTAGCACCACCTAGTGGCGAAGTGTACCACAGCCTCTTCCTAAGGATCATTGCTGTGTTCATTTGTGGAGGCTCTGGTGCAAATTCCCAAAGGGCACACTTGCACACTTAGCGCACTGCGTGTGCACAGTAGGGCTGGATGAATGCATGTTCTTTAATTATTCATATCTTAAAAGAAAGAAGCATGTGTAGATCACGAAAGGCATTTTTGCCACATTCTTTAAAGTTTTAGTACTTACTGAGAGGATATAGGGAAAATTAAACACTTGGTCTCTGCCCTTGGGAAGTTTTCAGGCTTTTCATAGTAATAAATGAAAATATTTAGTAATGCTCGGCCGGTGTGGCTCAGTGGTTGAGTGTTGACCCATGCACCAAGGGGTTTGATTCCCGGTCAGGGCACGTGTCCAGGTTGTGGGCTTGATCCCCAGTGGGGGCATGCAGGAGGCTGCCAGTCGATGTTTTGTGTCTCTCTCTGTTTTCCTTCCTGTCTCTCTAAAATCAACAAAGAAAAGAAAAATATTTAGTAATAAAATTGGTAATTATTTGGTGTAAACTGGTGGCTCTCCGACTGGCTGATTACCAGAACCACCAGGGAGCTTTGTAAACGCAGGTTTTCGGGCTCTTTCATTGAGAGTCTATTCAGAGGGTCTGGAAAAAGGACCTGGGATCCTAGATTTTTAGCATATTCTCCTAGTAGTGTTGATGATCAGGTTTGGGATCCATTAGTGTACACCTGAGTTGGACTCATCAACGGTGGCTTCCTAGAGGAGGTGGGCCTAGAACTGGCACCCCACCCATTTTTGTTGAGAGCCTCTGCTGTGGGTCCGGCATTGTGCGAGGGCGTGTCCTGGGCCACCGGACGCTCTTCAGGGTCTGCTGTGGGAAAACGTCAAGCAATAGAGAGCAGCGGGACTGGTGCGGAGAGAAGCACAGGACTGAGGGTCCAGCACATGACCCCTGGGTTGGAGACATTGAGTCTCCCAGGCCTGTCGGGAGAGCAGGAGCTGTAAGAGGACACAAAAAGGTATGAGGAGCGTCTGTCTAGGGAACCTTAGGAGTTTGATGTGATGGGAACATGGGGTGAATATAGGCAAGCAGCATGAGAAGGTGCTAGCAAGGTGGGCCAGGGGCCAGACTGGGTTCTTCTTACTGGCCATGGGGCATCATGGGAGGTTAATAAGCAGGTGAGCACCTGATGTAGGCCCTGTGTGGAGGCTGGAAGAGCAGGACTTCTGAGGGGGTGTTGCCAAGATAGAGAAGGAGCATGGGAGCTGGGCCCTGAGACAGGCCCGGGGGGTGGGGGGTGGTGAGTTAGAGCCATCAGAAGGGGAGCCTTTGCACCTGCCATTTCTTTGTGCTGGAAAACTGCCTGGGCCACCAGGTTCAGGAGTCTGCCATAGGCCCTGGGGAGGGGCCTGGTAGGGGAGCTGACACAGTAAATGTCCCGTGGCCTTGTGATTAAAGCTTACTCTTGTCCCACTCACAATACCTTTTTTAAGTTTGTGGGTCTTCAGCTTATAAATGGGAGGTGTTATAGCACAGTGGTAGGGGCATGCAGGGTTCAAATCTTGGCTGTGTGACCTTGGGCAAGTTACTGACCTCTCTGTGCCTCAGTTTCCTCGTCAGTAAACAGCAGTAACACTAGTACGCATCTCAGATGAAATAGTTTGTGTAAAGAACTGATGGTGGTACTCAGTGAGTCTGCTTGTTAGCCAGTAGTATCGTAGCGTCATTGTAGGCAAGGCAGGGCTTTTTGTCTTTGTTTTCAAATGAGGTTACTGAGATTTGGAGAGTTCATTGTCTTTGGGGGAAAATTAAACCTAGTCTGGCTCCCACTGCGCACCCTCACTCTCAGTGCCCTAACCACTGCTTCCCACCCGCCACACCTGTCTGCCTAGAAGGTGACCTTTCTAGGTGAGGACTGGGGTGCCCGTCCAGTTCTGTTTGTGAAGTAAGCCCCACCCCCAGCTTCCTGCTAGACCTTTCTCCCTGTGTTTGCCGTCTCCCCAACACCTGTCCCTATACCTACAGGATGTGTGCCCCGGTGATGGTGGAACTGGAGGGGGAGACAGATCCCTTGCTCATCGCCATGAAAGAGCTCAAGTAAGTCACCAGATCATGGTTCGCTGCCCCAGAGCCCTGGGAGGCACCTTCTGGGTTCTCTGTTGCACACCCTGGCCCGTACTTCCCTGGCTGGGGAAGTGTGATTATTCCTGTGGGTCCTTAGCTTGTTCAGGAGTCAGCCCACCAGGAAGGAGGAGGGAGGGAGTGGAGGGGCAGGCAAGGAGAGAGCACTGATGAGACATAGACCTCTCCTGGCTGTCAGAGTTCCGGGTTCCTGCTGTAGTCTAACTTACCGACACCCCTTCCTCCCTTCAGCCATGCGGTGGCAGAGCCCTTCCAGACCCACTGTCCCACACTCCGGGATGCAGGGATTTTTCTTTTTATTGTAATTCTTTTTCTCCAAAGTACACTCAGCCCCAGGAAGATGCTCCTAAGACTTCTCTTTCCTTGCATTCTGCACAGTCTGTCCTCCCTGCTGTAGAGCTGGGGTCTCCAGCCCTCATGTACTTGTGACTTCTCCCTTGCCCAGGGCCCGAAAGATCCCCATCATCATTCGGCGCTACCTGCCAGACGGGAGCTACGAAGACTGGGGGGTGGACGAGCTCATCATCACCGACTGAGCTGGAATCATCTTCCCAACTGTGCCTCATCCCCAACGCCTCACATTCTATATATATGTAAATAATAAACTGTTCAGCCTTTCTACTCCTCTGCCTCCAGCTATCTGCTGTGCCCACCCACTCTGCCCTGTTGTCTGGAGGCTGCACCCATCCCAGTGGACCCATGACTGTCAGCTCTTTAAGAAGCACCAGGGGCCCTCACCCCCTGTGGATATCCTGCATCCCTCCCTCCATTTCCCCGTTCACCAGAGCAAAGGCTGCTGCAGGAGACACCTCAGCTGCCTTCCCAGCAGACAGACGAGCCTTTGTGCCCAGGGAGCTGGTTGCCATGGAAACTCCCAATTTCCTTTCCAGTGGGGACTGGCTGCAGGGGCTTCTCCCTTCTCAGGAGTATCACAGAGCAGGTCTCATCAAGCCACCCATTGTTTCCTGAGGACCTGCCTCGAGCCTCTTATCACAGGCTCGGATCCCCTTTCAGGAGCAGTGCCCCAGCAGGAAGCTTGGGGACGCAGTGATCCCCGCCCTCCCCAAGCAGAGCTCCGCTGGGCAAGTCAGCTGGAGCAAGGACTGAGCACCTGCCCACCTCAGCCCCCTTGGGTCCCCACTCCGTGGCCCACCTCTCTGGCCTGCCACACCCATACCCTCTCCTTCCCAGCCTCTGGAAGATGCCCTTTCTGTTCTGCGGGCTGTGACCCTCAGCTGTGACCCTCCGAGGCCTTGACGGGATGGGTGCTGGCATGCCTAGGCGGGAAGCAGGGCTCCTCGGCTCAAGGCGTAGCATTAATTCAGGACGAGCTCATCATCCTCTGTCCTAGGTTCTAATGGGTCCTATTCTCTTCACTCTGTTTACCCAACATGTGGTGAGACCAATCATGTTGGTTCCTCCCTTGCGGGGAGGGGCAGGGAGAGGGTTTATGTTGACACCAACAGGAGACTGAAGGGAAAATTGGCTCCCAGCTTGTTTTAGCCTTAACCTCCATCCTACTGCAGCTCCCCTTCCAGGAAGAGGAGGAGCCGGGCTAGCCTGCCCTCTGCAAGAGGCATGGCCCCTGGGTGGGTGCATCCTGGCCAGGGTGGGAGTGATGGGCAGTCCCAGGAGGGGTGCTTGCTGCCTTGGAGAAGGGTTAATTCAGGGAGCAGTGGACTTCGAACCCCCTTCCACCCTCCAAGCCTGTGGAATCCTTTAATCAAGCTGGGTGCTGAAATTTCAGCTCTGAAACGCCGCCTTTGTGCTGGCATCCAGGCGGCCGCCCCAGTGTGGGGGTCACTTTCTCGGCCCCGTTTCTCTAAATGGTCTCTTTGTTCCTGCTGGGCCGCTCAGTATCAGATGTGATTAAAGGGAGATGGGGTTTGGTGGGGGAGGAGAGTTGGGGCTGGAAGAGTGAGGGGGGGTTAACTCTTAGGGGATAGGGTGTAGGAGAGATGGAGAAGGGGGTGTTTTTCCTCCCACCCCCACCTTTCCACTCTGCTCTTTCAGGGAGTCAGTCCCTTGCTACTCGGCTGGCCAGGCCGGGGCGTAATCTCTTCGACCCTCTCCAGGAACACCTGGCTCCTTCTTTACATGTGGTCACTCTGACTGAGGCCTCAGCACATCCAGAACCTTGGGTCTAAGGGATGAGCACAAGCCAGATCTGACTTTTCCAAGGTCATTTATTCTCTCTGGGTCCATTTCTCCTCTTCCCACATCCCCAGTGACTTCCAGTTGGTCTGAGATGCAGGGGCCTGCCGAGGGCCGGAGCAATGACCAGACTGGAAATGGACTAACATCCGTTTTTCAGTAGAAGTCAAAGGGTGGGTTGTGAAGATTATGAGCACGTAAGGTTAGTACTGATCGGTCCCTAATACATACCTAGAATAGGTCACTGCATACTGGCAAACACTTAGAGACCCAGCAGCTAGCAGGGGTTCTCAGACTTGCCAAGTGAACCGAGTTTTGAGTTTTTCAATGGAGACTGGTCTGGAAGTTCAGAGGGTACAGCACGTCTTGGTTTTAGTGAGGCATCTTTGTGCTCTGATGAAGAAGTGTGTACTTTGTGGTGATTCAGAACTGATCACCAGTCTGAAGAGTTTAGATGACAGAAGCAACGACAGCGAAGGACTTAGTGGTGTACACGGTCTGCTTCTCCGTTTCAACCTTCTTTATTAGCGCCTTGAATGAGGATATTCAGGTTTGCAGACACATAAAGCTCAGGAGAGCTAATAAGTTGTATTCAGGATTCCAAAAGGTTTAATATAGGTGGGAAATGGTCAATTCTAACAAGATGAAATCTGTTAAAGATCATTATGAAATCCTGCATTTACTGACAACGAAACACCAGAAAACATATACAGTCGGGGGCGATCTGACTTGGCAGCAGATACTGTTCATGAGAACAGGGGTTCGCAGCTACCACTAAGCTTCATGGAGCCAGCGGTTTTGGTGAGGTTGCCTGAAGAGCTCCATGAAGCTTCCAGATGGGGGTCTGGTCACCCCGGAGAACCGGGCTAGGCCCGGGCACTCTCCACCCCACCCCAGGTCCTGACTAGAAGGCGAGAGGTGGATAAGGGAGCTGAGGTTGCTGGTCTGGAGCAGTGGAAAAGGCATCACTTCAGTTTAAAAGTGGAAGTAGGCCCACAGATGATGGGCCGGTGGAAGAGATGGTTAAGAGCCCAGCGATGGAGTAAGAGCATCAGCACTTAGCATGAACCTCTCAGAGCTTCAGTTTCCCCGTCTGGAAAATGAGGATAAAGACTGGATCCACCAGCCCTGGCCAGTTTGGCTCAGCAGTTAGAGCGCCGGCCCACGGACCCGAGAGTCCTGGGTTCGGTTCCCGCTAAGGGCACGTACCTCGGTTGCATTTTGTCCCTGGTCCCGGTTGGGTGGCAGCCAGTCAATGCTTCTCTCTCACATCGATGTTTCTCTCTTTCCGCCTCTCTCCCTCCCACTCTATCTGAAGATAAATGCAAAAATGTCCTCTGGTGAGGATAAAAGAAAAAAAAAAGACTGGATCCACCCCCTCATAAAGCACTTGCCAGGGAGCACTCCACATGCGGTAGCTGTAACTGTCACTTTCCCGTCGGGGCCGTCCAGCAGGAGCACGTGGCGGGATCTTCCGCCCCTGAGGCGGAGCGGCTCCTCGGCCCCAGCACAGCTCAGAATTCAGCCGAGGGGCCGCACCGACGGATTAGACGCAGGGCTGCCGTCCTGGGCTTACACTCAGGCCTGCTGTGAAAATCAGCTCCATCCTGGCATGGACTGGGTGTGTGTGTGTTGGGACATGTGGCAAATGGAGGGGTGCAGAGAAAGAAGGCACATCCTAAAGGACTGGGGCGGCTGCCAGCCACCAAGGAGGCAGGCCTGACTTGCCTCTTCCAAATGCCTGCCCCTCAGATTCTTTATAAGCCCCTCTCCTCCACTGGGCAAGCAAAGGGCCGCGCGGAAGGTGCTCGGGCCGAGTTCCAGCTTGAGCCCAGGGAGTGGCCCACCTGTAGTGTGGGCACAGCGAGGCGGGGGGAAGAGCTCCCATCTGAGCCCCAGACACAGCAGACGGACCTCACCCACTGCATTGCGCCCACCTTCCTCGGCGGAGGCCTTTGGGCGAGCCGGCCGTTGCAGTCCACCCCTACCTACCTCCAGAAAGTGTTCGAGGAGCACAGGTGCAGGGATAAGAGACCAAGAGACAGGCCAGGTCAGGCCCACCAAGCAGGTAACTGGAACCTTTAATTTTATTACGTGGAATGCTTAATGCAGAGTTAATAGGGGCTGGAGAACCTAGGAGAGGGGTGAGGGGAGAGGGAGCTACTGAGATAAATAAGAGGGGGCAGTAATGAGTTACATGTGGACTGTGGGGCTGCAGAACAGGAAAATAGGGGCAGACAGAGCTACATACTTTATTCAGATACCACTGGGAAGCAAAGGGCAAAAGGCCAGGGCAGAATGTACACGTCAGGAATTAGTGTCTTTAGCCTGCTGCCAGCAACCTGGGTGCTGGGCCCTGCGTGTCCTCCTGGAGCCAAGGGTTTGGGCCTGAGCAGCTGATGCCCTCTGGGAAGCCCAAGGGGTTGAGGCTGAGCACAGGGGCCACGGAGCCTGGCGAGGGGAGGGGTTGGCGGGGAGCCAGGAGGAAGGCTCTGTGAATTGTCTCTGAATTCTTTCCTCACCTCCGGGGATGAGCCTCAAGATCTGGGAGGTTGTAGTGGAGGAGGACCTGGGCCCTCTTTCTCCATGAGACAAAGAATGAGGTCGTTGGCCTAGAATCGGATCTGGGGCCTCTATGCCAATTCCTTTCTGTGTTCAGGAGGGGAGGAGGCATGGGGGGGCATGAGGAGACCTCCCGCCGAGCCCCCCCACACCCTCTGAGGCTGTTCGAAGCTGTCCTCAGCCCCCAAGGGGCAGACGCAGCCCACTCCAGGCACCGATGCAGGTCTTGGAGGGGCGACCTTAGGCACATGGCACAGGTGGCACGGGTTATGTCAGACCCCCCCACTCTCCACGAGAGAGGAAACAGTCACAGGAATGGCTAGGCCTCCGATTCCCATCCGACCCTGGATGCTTCCCGCCTCCCAGAGGAGGGTGAGCGGGTCCTTCCCAGGTCCTGGGATCAAGGGTCATCCTGGGGGGAAGGTGCAGCCCCTCATCCTTCAGTCAAGGGGCAACAATCAACCTCTTTCTCCTCCGCCCGGCCTAGTAGTCCAGGGCTTTGCCTGGGCTGGAGCCTGGCTAGGACAGGGTGGGGGTCATCAAAGGCAGTGAGCCAGACAGAAAGCCTTCCCTCAGCTGTCAGCCTCGGCAGCCTCCTCCCCAGCCACCACCAGGCCTGAGAGGGCGAGGACCAGGACGTGAGGGCTTGGGGAGGGGCACGCTACCCAGAGGGGCTGGGAGGGGTGTGACAGGGCCCCTTAGGGCCGGGACAGCGTCGTATAGACTGGCTGCTCCCAGTGTGTGGGGCTGTGGGACTGGGGCCCTGAGGGGCTGGGATCAGAGATGGCGGTGTAGAGGGGCCGCTGTGAGGGCCCCATGTAGGAGAAGGCCGAATAGAGACCAGAGGCCTGGCCTGAATGGCCATAGTAGGGTCCTGAGGGCTGATGGTCAGAGTAGTCAA